ATCAAATCAAGAAGATCTTGGAGCAAAGTATCCCAAGCCTTGAAAGAAAATAACCTCCAGCCCAGATTGATGTACTCTGAAAAACTGTCTCTAGAAATTAATGGAGAAACAAGATGCTTCCAAGACAAAGAGGAACTGGAGCAATTTGTGACCACCAACTCAACTCTACAGAGAATACTGAAGGACATTCTAGAGAAAGAGAAAAGCACCAGGATTCCAGGAACAGTGGCAGAGAGGCCTCAATGAGTGGAGCAGAAAGTGGAATGAAGAAGAAAAGCAGACAATTAATGGCAGAAAAAGAGCACAACAGAAATGAGGCAGAGAAGGTTGGCTGTAATCTCTAATATAGATGGCCTTGATATACGTAAAAAAAATGAGAGAGAGATACACAGGCAGAGTAGATCAGGAGGTAGGGTCCACTGAGATGGGAAGTATAATTAACCTGAAAAAGTGTTTAATGGACCGAAAAACCTGAGAAAACAATGCTCTATGTAACAGGGAACCTAGGGGCAACTAGACCAGTATTTGTGGATAGGTTGGAAAGACAGGCTTTAATAGGTAAAGGAATACAACTAGAGATCAAGTCTAGGAGGGAGAAGGTTCGGAACCACTTAGGTAGATAGCAGGTTGCCCCCCACCAATCTAAAAACCGAGGGTGTTGGTGAGACCCAAAAATGCACAGTACACCTTGGGGGAGTGAAAGGAACAGGCTTAAAAAAGACAGCAGAAGATATTGTTAATAGTGTATCTGGAGTTAAAACCCATATTACTCCCACTGCTATGTTTAGATAGATTTTATTCTGTCCCAGTTTGTCTCCTTGCACTAGATCTGAGGGCACAGACAGATATCCCAAAATAATATGATATAATACAGTAATCATCTTTAATTTCCTATTAACTTAATCTGGAGCCCTGTCTAACTTATACTGTTTTATCATGACTGATCTTAGTTAAATCTGGTTTGTTTGATTGCTGTTTGGTATTGATAGGTTTTATTCAAAACTGTTATGATTGATAGTATCAAGTCTGAGAGTATAGGCAACTATACCGAAGATGACAAGATTTACTACAATATTCATTGTGGTTTGATTACTATCTGTTTTTGAAGTTTTACACTACCTACAAAGTTGTGTTTTTCTTAATATTTTTATGTACTGTTATATTCAATTATACTCTGCCTGATGATATAGACAGTTCTATTGAAGACAATAAGAGACAACACAGTAACCATGACAGAACTCCTTGTACAGTGGTTTTATATGTCTTTTTCATTTCATGTGTTTATAGGAATATGTTTTGTTTTGTCTTGCTTTGTTTTCTTTCTCCCTCTAATATAGAAAGGATAGAAATACATGTTAAGACTCATGCATGCATAGAACCTATAAACAGTTTATGAGAACTGATCTTATAATGCATGATGAAATGAACAAATACTTTGAAGAAAAAGAGACACTACAGTACCCAGTGCTGATCCCATAGTGTCATGATGTGAAAACCAGCAATACTATTTTTCTTTGTTCAGAGTGATTTTAGCCTGCTTTGGTTTGTTTAATCTCAACATAAATGAAGATATGGATAACTGCATGTAGGTTAAAGTGTATAGGATTGATAACCATATTACTAAGTTACCTATGAAGGCCTCAATTGTATAAAAATACCACATCTTTTTCATCTACTCTTTGGTTGATGGGCATCTTGGTTGTTTCCAAAATTTAGACATTACAAATTGTGCTGTTACTACTTCTTATCAATTAAATAAGGCAAGGAGAATGAATAAAAGAATGCAGTTTGTAAAGGAAAAAATAAAAATGTTCTTGTTTGTGATGGTATGGCAGGGCAGCCATTCATTAACACCACTAGCAGCAAGTGAGAACAGAGCAAAAAAGGAAAGACACACCTTCTTTCCCGCCCTTACACTGTATGTGGGCAGGTGCAGCACTCACATCCTTAATCCCAGTGCTAGACAACAAACCAATCTCAAATGCTGGATTCAGCTGCATCCATGATTGCATGAGGCTTGGCCATCTAAACACAAACTATAACACTCATGAAAGAGGATTTCCCAAATTGCTTCAGAAAGTTGCAAGAATGACGAGATTAAATGTGTTCAAAGCAAGGAGAAGTATTTTGAAAGGGATTAATGGTACTGTATCTTTTACTACAATAAAATATTTTTTAAAAAATAGTTAAACAGGGCTGGGGATTTAGCTCAGTGGTGTAAGCGCTTGCCTGGCAAACTCAAGGTCATGAGTCTGATCTCCAGTATCAAAAAAAAAAAAAGTTTAGCATTCATCTTACTGTTTTTTAATCACACCATAGTTGTTATATTACAGAATACTACTCTGCAACAGAAGAGATCAAACTAGTGTTGTATGCAATGATATGAATAAGACCAAAAATATTTTGCTGAGTGAAAGAAGACTATACAAAAGAACATACAATGTATAATTCCATTTAAAGTTACTTCAATAAAAAAAACCTAATATGTAATTTTTTTAATTATAGAAAATCAATACTCATTTATAGTGACAGTAAGCAAATCAGTGGTTGACTGGAGATTCACTGCAACAGGGTAGGAGGGAGCTCTTTGGAAAGATGAAATGATATATGTCTTGGTGGTGATGATGTGGTGGTTGGTGGTAACATAGGTATATATGTTTGCTACAATTCAGAGTTGCAAACATTCACATCTTGTGATCTGGCTGGCTCACTTTTAGATATCGTACACTGTTTTTCAAACTGCTATGAGAAACACATTGACAGAGAATCATCAAATCTATTCAGTGTGTCCTATCAGAAGAGCTATTCATCTTGAAATTAATGAGGCTTAAGCCTTAGGTCCCTTCATTTCCAAGGCCCGGTTACTAATTTTGTATTAAGAATTTTGTCTCCTTCCAGGTGTGGTGATGCATACCTGTAACCCCAGAACTTGGGAGGCTGCAGGAGGAGAATCCCTCTGAGTTTGAGACCAGCCTGGCCTACATAGTGTGTTCAGCCTTCACATAGCAAGGCCCTATCATTTAAAAAAAAGGAATTATTTTTAGAGGAGTCCCCAACTCTATTCACTTTAGGACCTGCCTCTAGATAGCCAGATATTTTAAGATAAAATGGAAAGGAAAATAAAGCTTTGAGTTTATATAATGGATCAAGTTTCTAAAGTTTATTTCTTGTGTTTAAACAGACACATATGCACATCAATTGGAAATTCAATGCTGTGTGGAAACCTATGCAATGTACACCAGGAGATGTGTATTCATTCAATGTAGCACTATTTGAAAGAGTGAATATTTTGCCTGCCTGGCAAGTGTGAGGTCCTGAACCTGATTCCTGGTACCAAAAAAATTAGCTATTTGGAAACAACTCAAATGCCCATCAATGTGAAAGTAAATACAGTATTGTACGTTTGAAGTGGAATTCTGATAAGCCACATCTTCTGTCTAGTTAACTCTCATTAGCACAATATTAAGTTTTAAAAACACCAAGTTGAAGGTCATTACAGCATAGTTTTAGACAATTTGAAAAACATTACTATGTTTGATGATCTATATAGTGTTTCTAGCTGTAGTCATATCATGTACACAGAAAGTGTTAAAACATGTATGAGACTATTAAAAGACAAAATCATGATGTAATAGTGGTTATTTCTAGGAAGAAAGGAGAAAGAATGACAAGATATATACAGGGCTTTAGTTTTACATGCAATTTTATTTCTTTTCTATAAATGGATTTGAAGCAAATAAGGGTAATTGTGAAAATTTAACGAGGCTGGTCAGTGGGTGTGCAGATTTGCTGCATTATTCTGAGTCTGATGGCATTGCATGCTATGTGCATATTATTGTAGACACTAGTAATATGTGTTATTTCGTATTTGGATAATGTGGGCATTTACAAACATCACATAATCTTCATAATAGCTTTATGAAGTGAGTAGGACAGAAAATATGTCTCTTCCCCAGAATGGGAACAATTTGTTAAGAGCGTATAGGGGAGCCAGCTGTTTCTTAGTCTACATTGCACGGAAATCCACTAGAGACTTTTTTTAAAGCCTAAGAGGATGGGGTGCCTGTTTTTTCCACTCATTCCCAACTTTGGGAGGGCACTCAATGAAAGAATGCATTGTATACATAATGGCCAGGAGTATGCTCCAAAGCATTCATTCAGAAGTGCTGGGTGGGGACTGGGGAGCTCCAAGAATGATTTTGATGATGGATTGGCATCTATGAGCCAGTCGCTAAGAAGCAGGAAGGGCCTCTCCTCCCAGTCGCTATCCACTGTCTCACTTAACGACCTTATACAAATCATTTAACCTTTTACTACTTACATTTACACTCCGTAAAACAAATGCGTGCTATTCACAACTGCTCACTCGGGGCTTCTACTGAATACTTTTCGAAAAATAAGACCGACTAAAAGTGCATCACAACGCAATTCTGTCAAGTTCAATACAAACTACAGGATGAGCCCACCATGCCTCTGGGGCTTTTCACTCATTTAATTGGTGTTGGCTTTTAAAGATAGAATTTATATTTTTTAAAGATTAACAGATTTTAAATTACTAATACATAGCCTGTTGCCTCCTTAGAATAAAAAGTGAGCACTTTACACTGTCTCTCGAGTTTTGGAAGCGGGCAGCAGTATGTTAAAAGGCAAACGGCTTTATGAAAACCTTTTGGAGTTCTGGGTACTGCAGTATGGAAGAGAAGAAGCACCAGGACAGGACAGCTCCGAGTCGGGGAAGCGGGAAGACAAGTGCTCAGGAGCCCGCAGGTCCAGAGCGCCAGGCTGGGAGCGGCCGTGCTGTGGGCGCGGACCCGCCCGAGGCTCCTGGCGCAGAACCTGAGCCCTCTCGCGGCCGGAGTGCGCGCGGAGCCACAGATCCGTGTAAGGCGCCCTGAGAGCCGAGACCCGCCGGCCGGGGCGGGACAGGGCGGGGCGGGGGGGGGGGGGCTCCCCGCGCTGGCCACGTGACCCCGCGGCGGAGCTCGGTGCGAGTTTGACAGGAGTTTGAATCGGACTCGGGGGCTTTCTGCTGCCGGCGAGCAGAGCGGCGGCACAGCTCGGCGAGCGCGAGCATCCGCGGCCCCGCGACCCGCCCCAGCAGCCTGGATCCCGGCCGGCCTCCGGCCGCGAGCCTGCAGCCCCCAGCCCCACCGCGGTGCCCTCCGCGCCCCGGCGAGGCAGCCGAGGCCCCGCGCTGCGCCTCGGGCCGGCCGCGCCACCATGTCCTCGACGGAGAGCTCCGGCCGCGCCGCGGACAAGTCGCCGCGCCAGCAGGTACCTCTCCCCACGTGCCCACGGGTCGCTCGCCATCCCCTCTGCGCTGGGCTGCGGCGCCTGACTTGACTCCGAGCCCCACCCCCGGAGCGGGTGAGGACCGGGAGGGGCACTGGCTCCCTGCTGGCCCCTGCACCTTGACCCCCGCTGGCCCTGTCCCCGCAGGTAGACCGCCTGCTCGTGGGGTTGCACTGGCGGCGGCTGGAGGAGCCGCTGGGCTTCATCAAAGTTCTCCAGTGGGTGAGTCTCTGTCCCAGCCCGGGGCTATTTTGGGATCCTGGGCTGTGACGCTGACCACAAGCAATGTGGCCTGGGTGGGGGCTGGGGAGGTGGAGCTGCCCGGCCACTGCGGAAGGGTGGGGGGCGGCAACAGGTGGGCGGGGGAGGGGAGGGCTCGGGCGGCTCCTCCCGCGCTCTGTGGCAGGAGGATGAGGAGCCAGGCATGCCGAGTCCCGGATTCGGTCCTTCTATGTGCAAGGAGCCTTTGCCCAGTCCGCTCACATTTCACTCGGGCGACAGGACCCGGGCGTAACCTTTCCAGAACTCTGATCCTGCACATACCACTCCTCCGTTAGCAGGAGGGGGGGGGTATAGGACAAGGGGGACGAGGTCCGCTCTTCACCACTAGGGAAGATGCAGAGGGCAAAGAGGGGAAGGAGGCTAACTATGGGAACCATCCTGTCCTCAGACCCACCAGGATCTGAGTGATCCTGGGAGTGGACTCAGGGGACAGGCTCCCATGGGTGAGTTGGTTCCCTTCTGAGGTCACTCTAGTAATCTGTATTCCTATAAGGGAGTGAGGGAGTCTGTGAATGAATGGATGGAGCTCACTAGCCCAATATTTTAAAAAATTCATACAATGAAAATCACACCCTGGCCAAAATGTGATGTGGCATGTAGAATAAGATAGAATCCAGATCTCGAACTGTGTTCCAAACCTGGACCTTTCCTTTCCCAGCTGTGTGACCTTGGGCAAGTCACTTCTTGGGACTTCAGTTTCCAATGTTAGTCAAATATGGATCAGACTGTCTCTAGGATCCCTTATGCTCTAAACCAGGTAGTATTCTATGTCAGACTGACCCTGTGACCTTGAAAAACTCAGTTGCCTAAGTCTCATTTTCCTGGTTTTGGTCTAGTGGAAATACCATTTCATTGCGTCACCATTGCTTTGAGATGTTACTATGCTATCTAATCTTCCCAGGGCCCCGAGTGTTACTTAGTAATGTGGACAAGTGCAGTTACTTTTTCAAAGCATTAAGACTTATTGGGAAGTGGGTTACTGCACTATTGCAGAAGACATTTTAATTAGACAATCCACACACCAAATGGTGTATAAGTAACTTAATTAATATTCTTTTAGCACAGAATTCAGTGACAAAATAAATTAACATTAACACTTGGGAGGATTGAATTCTAAAGAACTTTAAACTCACTGGAGATAAGATAGCATTGTGTCACTAACTCCCAAATCATGATTTGGATGAGAATCATCAAATGTGGAATTCAAGAGCAATAGTCCATTTACGATTATCTGGATATTTGAGAACTTAATTAGTACTACAGGGAGCTCTGCAAACTCTGGCACTTGGTAGGGACTTTCCACTTTTCCTAGTGTCTCAAGAGCTGCTGACTGAGCTCTTTCATTTCTTGCCACTTCCCTGCTCCGATCCACTGCTCAAATGTTATAGGCTGCCGTATAAGAATGATACTGAGGCTCTAAATGACTGGCATCTAGAAGTAGTAAAGCTATGATGAGCAATTCCAGAGGAACAGCACCTGAATGCAAGAGCACAATTTTATCATTAAAACTATATAAATGACAGTAACAGAAATTGGAGACAGTCAAGAGATGAACAAAACAGTGAAGTTGGGGCTGGGGATTTAGCTCAGCGGCATAAGCGCCTGCCTTGCAAGCAGGCAGTCGTGAGTTCGATCCCTGGTACCGATAAAAAGGAAAAAGACCAAAAAAAAAAAAAAAAAAAAAAAAAACAGTGAAGTTACTAGACCATGGACTCATCTTTCTTGGGGAGGATTTTTGAAAAGCTTCATTTTTCAATCTTGCTCTTTATCCCCAGTATACAAATCTTTCTACAAAGGCTGCACAAAGCAATTCATAAGGTCATTGCTGATGCACTAAGAATTAAGACCTATTTGACTTTTCTAATCTTCAAAGAGACAGAGTTACACAGAGAAGAGACCTGTTTCTCTCATTCTGCTAAATTTAAGGGTCCAGAGTTGCACTCTGAATTAGCCTTCATTCCCAAAGTAGCATCCTATGGAGAAGTGATTTGGTTTTAAGGTCATCTGTGGTAGTGTAAATTCAGGACATGAGCTTCATTTGTGTTGAATCTTTGTGGATGAGCTAACATTAAAACATACAGGAACACATTCCAGGAAGGACAGTGAAACTGTCATTTGGGTCTTTCACCCATTTTCTGCTTGGAGGGATAAAATGTTCCTGACTACAGGATAAGAAAAAAAGAAAATATAAGTCTTGCAGCTATTGTAATGGCAATTGAAAACTTTTGTTGTCATTGTTACCAAAAAGCAAACGTTTTACTGGAACCCTTACAAGAAAAAAGTGATACAATTCTTTTATGAGTCACAATTCTTTTATGAGTGATAGTTTAGAGTGTCTTTAAAATTTAGAAATGAACTGATTCCAGTTCAATTCTAGTTCTGGATTTTCATTAAGCCTATATCAAGCTAGCAAAATAACCTGGATATAGATCAATTATTGCGACAACTAGTTTTTTGTTGCTTTAGGTTTTTTAAAGTTTTATTTTGTTTTGTCTTGAGATCAGGTGGACTTCGGTTTAGTCTCTTCTTCTTTCTATCCCTAGTTCCTAGTAAGTGATGCCATTGTTATGGGCCTCAGTTTCCTTATTTGTAAATGAGGGTCAGATCTGTTTTATGAGCTCACTGGAAGAATTATAGAAGGTAATATCTGTAATGCATACCACATTCAGGAAAAACACAGTGAGCCAGGAACTCTGGAACCTACTTGTGTAAGTGTTGGTTCCTTTCTCTTCTATTTCCAAATCTCCCCTTTTCCAGTTTCCTCTTATATTGACTGTCCAGCTAGACTTGTCCTTCAATGAGATTATTCAAGTATCACTACCAAATCCTCTCTTTGATGGTAAGGTACAAAAAAACTCCAGCTGATTCTATTACTGCCATTTGCTTAGAAATAAACCATATTACCTTTAACTGGATGTACTCTCCCGATGATTATTTTGTCTTTGGGGTGCCAAAAATAGTTTTTTTTTTTAATGCTAGGATCTCTGTAATGAAAAATAGCTATTTCTGTGAGTTTAGAAGATTTTAAAAGATACTAGCAGAGCCCATAAAACCCAAAGAATGATTGTAGATTAAGATTTGGTAAAATAATTTGTCCTCCTTGGGCTGGGTATTTAGCTCAGTGGCATAAGCACCTGCCTGGCAAGCACAAGGTCATGAGTTCGATGCCCAGTACCTAAAACAAAATAAAACAAGCAAAAAAAATTTGTCCTGTGCCCTGTACTGATGGTGTTGATATGCTTTGGATTGACATAGGATTTTCACCAACAGGTAAGCTGGCATCACAGTGGAGCCTCATCCTTAAAATGGGAAGGTTATTCTGACACATTTGCAAAAGAGATGCAGAGATAGGAGGAGGAAAAGGGAAGGGTATAATCATCACTGTGCCCTGAGGTGCCAGTCTAAGAGGAGGATTATTGGTTGGCACCAGAACTCCAGAAATCCCCCTGGTCTCAGGGCCTCCATCTTCAGCTGCTGTTCTTTATGGCCATTTTACTAATCTCAGAGCCTCGTGCTTGGTGACAGGGTAGTTTCAGTTTTTACTTTCTGCTCCCTGGAGGAGGGTCTCCTGCACAGTTAGGGAATGAAGCTAATCTAGTGTAGAAAGGTGGAGGGTTAGGAGAATGGGAAGAATGGGCATGGTATCTTTCTCTATCCCTGAAGCTCAGAGCACTGAGCCACTCCCTCCTTTCTTATAATCTTCCCAGTTAGCCTTAATAATTGTAGCACACAGTTTTGCTTTTGTCATTTGCTTCTTTGTTTTCACATGACACACCTCTCTTTATGTGGTCTTAAGAGCAGAGCCAGTTCTTACTTGTCTTCATATTTCTAGCACCTGGCACAAGGTAGCTGCTCAGTAAGCAGCTTGAATAAATGAAGTAGAAAGAGCACTTGACAGGGAATTAGAAGTGAATTTGAAGACTGTCTCTCACATTAGCTAATGTGATTTGGGGAAAGTCACTTAATCTTTTGAGGCTTCAGGTTTTACTTCCATGAAATGAAACCAGTGGGCTAAATAACCCTAAGATCCTTTTGTATTTTGTTAACCTATGAATCAATGAGACTCTCCTCAGATTTTCTCATTGTCTGCTTGTTTAGCAAGTTCTGTTATTTGGCACCATCTGACAGTGTGGCAGTCAGATTTAAGTATGTGTGCTTAGAGCTGGGGATGTGGATTAGTGGTAAAGCAAATTTGCCTACCATGCACAAGGTCCTATGTTCAATCCCACACCACAAAATAAATAAACTAACAGTAATAACTAACAGTATTAAAGTAACTAACAGTAATAAAGTAAATTAATATGTTTTGGAAAGTTGAAAAGTCATACCGACAATGTTCAGACAGTCCTAACTTTCAAAGAATCAGAATGGAACAGAATAGAGTTAACAGTAAAGTTATTATATTTGGGATATATTTTTCTCTCCTTGGCATCAGAACAGGTTCAGAATTATTTTTGAAACCTCAAGGTCATCATTTAGATATACAGAATGTTCAGTGATGATGGAAAAGTTCTGTAATTTACTCTGATAAGTGTAGTATGTGCCAGCATGTGTGAGCACTTGAATGTGGCTAGTATGATTAAGCAACTGAATTTTAAGTTTTATTTTATTTTAATTAAATAGCCACACACTAGTAATTATCATTTTGGATAGTGCAGCTACAGAAACATTAAAGGGAGCTTTCCCCCTCTTTTTTCACTCTTAAGTAGTAGTGCCTACCTCAGGTGCTCTAGAAATGTCATATTTCTGTAGGTGTATAGCAGTGCCTGTCAAGTGATGGCCAGGAAGAAAAGGTTTCATAAGTCACCATTCATTGGTCCAAGTTGAGAATACATACTTAAAAGGAGCCATTCACTGACTCACTGGGGTGGATAAAAACATAACAAACTGTGCTGTCCTCTCTAATATATGGCTAGATATCTCCAGTTTGAGGTGCTAAAAGTGAAGAGGACTAAGGAAACATCAACAAGAAGTCTGAGAGCCAAAGAGCTAACAAAGATGAAAGAAAAGCTAGAGAAGTTCCACTGTTATTATGCCTGGGAGCAACTTGGAGTATGTGACCAGCAATGATGCAGAGGCTTCCTATGACTTCTCTCAGCTCTTGGCAAGAGTGGAGCAAGTAGGGCTGTGGTACAACTTGCACAGTTTCATTCCAACATGGAAGTCATGGAGGCATTGCTGAGAGGGTACACCATCTTCTTTCCTGGGTATCTTTGAAGATGGAGACAATTTTCATTTGCTTGGACGAAACCTCCTGAAAACACCTAGTGCACATTATGACCTTCATAGAGAAGCCAATGGTTCCAGGATGGTGCTCTGCCAGGCCAGAACAGAACATGCAAGGCAGGGCAGTGGCACAGAATACTACCCGGGGCAGAGCACAGCTGTTGGTAAACTCAGCCAAGAGCACACTGACAGTGTTACCCTCAGAGAGTGAGAGAATTCCAGAGCTGCAAAGGCCTTCTAAATTATATCCAAATCCTTCATTTTACAGGCGAAGAGACTGAGACTCAGGGAGCAGAGGTGTCTTACTAATTAGTGACAGATTCAGGACTGGAACTCAGATTTCCAATCTCCTAATCCAAATTTTTTTCCACTCCAAGACACCAACAAGCATTAGCAAAATAACATACAAGTCTATTCTAGACACTGGATATGGAACTTATATATAAATTAATTGTCTTCTAGGTGTTTAATATTCAAGACACTGGCTCATAGAGAAAATGAACAATTAACAGAGTAAGATCAGGGTGTAATAAGAATGATTACACTGTGTACAATGTGTAGGTACACAGGAAACTGGAGCTGAGCATATGACACGGGAGAATATTCTGACATCTCACCTTTTCTAACCAAAGTGTGTTTCCTAGAAAGAAATTTGAGGGCTGGGGATTTAGTTCAGTGGCATAAGAACCTGCCTTGCAAGCAGGCGGTTGTGAGTTCGATCCCTGGTACCAATTAAAAAAAAAAAAAGAAAGAAATTTGAGGGTCTTAAGATAAGGTAATTTTATAGACTCAAAAAGGAAGTATAGTCAAATGTGATGAACAGTGAACAAGAAAACAACTCAAGTGATCAGAAACACCTTTGGTTCTTAACACTGAGAAATGGCAGCATTGACACATTACAAAGGGAAACACCGGCAGGAAAATACTAGGGGCTGATAAGGCAAGTGTAGGGTACTTTTCTTTGGGCTTGAGCCAAAACTGTTAGCATTGGACCAGCCAGCACTATTGCTGGAAGGAAACGTGCTTTCAGGGAGGAGGAGTGAGGCTGGCAGGACCATGGGAAAGCTTGGTAAAAGTTGTGCCCACCAGCTATACTGTACCCGCATTGAGGCAGGAAACCATCAGAATTTAACAGCAAGGCAAAGATTCACAGGAGAAATGAAAAGCATTTTAGGGTTGGTACAAGAGAATCTATTTCTGACGCTGCCTCTCCCTCAGGAGGAAAATTAAGTCTAGCTTTGAGATAAAAGTTTCCAAAATACAGAGTTACAGAATTTTGTAGCGGTCATCATCTTTAACATGTTATCTATAGTTCCCAGTATTATGCCCAATGAGAAGACCTGGAAAACAATCATTTTCTCTCTTTCCTCTCCCTCTGAGATACTTCTCAAGATCTACTTTATTCATTTGGCTGTTTGGTTCAGTACCCTGTGCTGTGAATGCAAAACCCTGAACTGAAAGATGAATGGCAGTCAAAGGTCCCTTCCCTAGAGGAACTAGGGAAGGATTAAAGGGGACCCTACTCTTTCCCTCCTCAGCATTTGCACCTGCTAGGGTCAAGGGATGGTTCTTTGCCTTGGCCCACCGAGGCCTTCTAACTCTCAAGGGGCTTCACTCTTTCTCAGCTCTTTGCTATTTTCGCCTTTGGGTCCTGCGGCTCCTACAGCGGGGAGACAGGAGCATTGGTTCGCTGCAACAATGAAGCCAAGGACGTGAGCGCCATCATTGTTTTGTTCGGCTACCCCTTCAGGTGAGCAGGAATTGTGTCTAGCCCAGCACAGCATCTCTTGCTAGATTAGCAGGACCTGCTAGGTCTCATTCTCCTCTAGAAATCTAAAGACTCTTTGTTACGTGCTGCTTCAGATTCAAATAGAATTAAAAGACATGGGTCCTTTCTGCCCTTTAGCAATTCCAGACACAATGGCCAGAGAAAAACGTAAGACAAACACAGATTATATTATGATGTTCCGGTCCATGCTCAACCAGTGGCACAACAGTTCAAACGGAAGAAACCCAGGCAGTGGGGATAAGGGTATACCAGGAGTGTGAGCAAGTGGTGCAGCTCTCTCTGACTCTCTGCAGCATCCTGTGTATCCTGAAGTAAGGAAGTTGGTTGGTACTTAGGTCCCAAAGAGTTGATGTAGGATGCTTGCCTGGTATGACCAGACTACAAAGAGACATATCGTGACCAGGAAGTAGAAGAGAATACTCTTTCCTGGATATTTGGGAGCCATGTATGGGGAAGCCTGTGTTTAAAGGAGAATAAAGATTGGGTTTATTTACTCTTTTTGTATCAGCACCCAAATTAGTTAAGTGTTTCTTGTTTCAAATAGTCTCTTTATTTTGTCCAATATAGTCAAATTGGGAATCATAAGTAAGGCCTGAGAGTGAATGCTTTCAAACTTAACTTGGTCCCTGTGAATTTATGCTTTCCCAGAGGAAGAAAGATGATTTGTTTACCAGAAACATATGAAATATACATACTGTAGTTGTGAGCTATAGGACCCCAGAGATACTTGGAAATACATGGTCACCATGGTCTAGAGATTTGGATAAGTATAGGGTGGCAGCTGAGGGGAGGTGGTGTTTGAATGGACTCTTGAGCAACATCCTATCTTAACTGAAAGGTTTCCTGCAGAAGTGTTCCTCCCCACATGACCCCATCTTGGCTCTGTAAGTGTCCCAGAGAGAAGACCAGCACAGCACCACTCCTGTGGCAGGGAGAGAGGCTTGCCTGTGCTTAGAATGGACTCCCTGCCACTTGCAGGTTACACCGGGTCCAGTATGAGATGCCTCTCTGTGATGATGACTCCACCTCCAAGACCATGCACCTCATGGGGGACTTCTCTGCCCCTGCTGAGTTCTTTGTGACTCTTGGCATCTTTTCCTTCTTCTATACTATGGCTGCCCTAGTCCTCTACCTGCGCTTTCACAAACTCTACACAGAGAACAAGCGTTTCCCACTGGTGGTGAGTGAGCATGGGCCATAGGGATGGGGTAGAGGAACTGAAGAGATATTTGTTATGGGTGGAAGTCAGAGCTGGAGGGGAGGACAAACATGACAGCTTTCCTGGGTCCTGACACCTATACAGGGAACCTCTGCCCTGACAATTCTCATTGTTTTCTTTTGCTCACAGAAGGCACAAAAGCAACATAAAGAAGCAGGCTCTAGAGTTAGGCTGCCTTGGTTTGAATCTCAGCACTGTCTCTTGCTACCTGTGTGACTTTCCACAAGTTACTCAGCCTCTCAATCTCAGTTTATTTGGGCATAAAATGGGGATGAAATAATGCCTGCACTATGGTGCTTTTTGAAAAAGAAAATGAGAATGTATATGAAGTATCTGGTATACGAGTGTTAGCTATTACTATATCACTCTCTTTACTTTCTCCCACTGCAGGCATGGAAGACAGAAGATATACCTTAGAGAACTCTTCTGTCTCCCAAGTCTGGTTTCTGCCACTATTTATAGATAAGCACTGAAAGAAAGGCGCAGAGGAAAGAGTGGGAAGTTATAGGTCCCTTGGGTTTGGGGCTAAGACTGACCAGCAGATACTTTCACACCTTCTCCTGACCTCAGATCTGAGGACATGAGTAGAGTGGCCTGAGTGGCAGGATTCCATTGTGCCAGAGAACATGCTTATCAGGACCATGTGGACTCTCTGAGGTTCTAGGTATCAGGTAGCTTAGGAAGAGGCAACTATGTTGGGACCCCAGGATTCTAGTGTATCATGGTAAAAGGAAAAGAAACGGGAACTATGAGGGCTTTCTGTGAGTGTATTTTTCATCCTTTTGCTCCTCCTAGGACTTCTGTGTGACTGTCTCCTTCACCTTCTTCTGGCTGGTAGCTGCAGCTGCCTGGGGCAAGGGCCTGATGGATGTCAAAGGGGCCACCCGGCCATCCAGCCTGACTGCAGCCATGTCTGTGTGCCATGGAGAGGAAGCAGTGTGCAGTCCTGGAGCCACACCCTCCATGGGGCTGGCCAACATCTCTGTGGTGAGCCCTGTGGCCATGGAAGGGGTCTGGGGGAGGCAGTGCTATCACAGTTGTTCAGTCTCGTCCCTAGGCTTAAGAGAAAAAGAGCAAATGTCCCCAGAGCTGGTATCCCTTATAGCTAGAGCTAGCAAGTGCCTCCCTGCACAAAATGTTGATCTGATAAGACATTTGGAATGAGGGGAGCCTGAGAGCTGTCCCCATTCCTCCTCTTCCTCCCCTCTGTATGTATGCCCTTGTGGTTGACTCCTGCCCTTCTTGCCAGTCTCACATATATGTGTGCATACACGAACATGCGAAGGCAGAGAGCTTAGGGCTGTGGTATGGCTCAGGGCTGGGAGCAGCCCCACAGTGAGTGAGGAGGGCTTTTTGTTGCTTAGTCCTCTATACTGGAAAAGGGCTTTGAGGGCAGCGACAGTGGCTCCATGGTAGGCATGCACTTGGCCATTCCCATTGTTAGAACTTTGCAATTTGACCATATCTTCTGGTAAATACCTGGATATTTGAGCTTCTCAACTGCTCTCCATCATTTCAGTCACCTCAGACCCAGTCTGAAAATTGTTTGGATTTCCACAAGGCCCACGCTTGAAATTTTTAAAGGCTGGCATACTAGAGAAACTTTTGGAACATTCTAAAACTGTGTTCATAGGTTTCTTCCCTCAACATTTTATTATAAAGTGTTTATGTATTAAGCAAAGTTGCAAGAACTTCACAGTGAACACTCACAACTTACCTCCTAGACTATGGAATTGCTTTATTATATGCCTATGCAACTCTTTTCATCCATCAATCTAGTTTTCAATACATTTCAAAGTTACCTGCAAATATCAGCTTTCCCTTCCACAACTACTACCTGCTGTAGGGTGTAATTTTTTTTGTCTTTTCGAGACAGGGTTTCATTACATAGTTCAGGCTAGCTTTGGACTCACTTTGTAGCCCGAGTTGGTCTTGAACTTGCAACAATCCACCTGCCTCAGCCTCCCAAGTGCTGGGATTTCAGTTTACCATCACACATTTTATTTTATTTATTTTTTTATCGGTACTGGAGATCTAACTCATGGCCGCCTGCTTGCAAGGCAGGTACTTATGCCGCTGAGCTAAATCCCCAGCCCCAAAAATATTTTAAATAAATATCCAAATATAACTCTGGTTGAGACCCTGGATTTAGGGAAGGAGCACATTGGACAGCTCCAGGCGCACTTACCCCACAGGAGGTGCTCCAAGCAGGCCCCACATGTGCTGTAGGAAGCCCAGCTGGCCCCAGTTCTGTGTCTTGCTATGTTTTGCATGATGACCACTCCAGGGGGCAGATTCAGCTAGTGACCACACTATATCTTGGGCATAGATTAGAGTTAGACTTTTTCACTATGTGATCCCTAAATGTACAATGACTTTGAACCTTGCCTCTATATCCAAAATCCCTGTTCCTTAGTTTTCCTAGCCCTGTACCTCTTCCTTAAACATAGAAACTCCACGCTTACTGTTTTCATGTTGTTGCTCCCTTACCTTTCTCACAAACTTTCCTGATATTCTTTTCAGCTCTTTGGCTTTATCAACTTCTTCCTGTGGGCCGGGAACTGTTGGTTTGTGTTCAAGGAGACCCCGTGGCATGGACAGGGCCAGGACCAAGGCCAGGGCTCCAGCCAGGAAAGTGCAGCTGAGCAAGGAGCTGTGGAGAAGCAGTAGGAAGCCCCCATCTGGCTACTCCCGAACTGGACAGCACCTCTTCAACACCTCCGGCTTCCAGGGCCTCCCTCTTCCTCTTCCTCCAGCTCCCTCCCCCGACCCCATCATTCTGGGCTTTGGGCTTTGAGATGTTGGATAGGCAAACATCAACTGTTGGAGACCTGGGCAGCCTCTCCTTTTGTTGGAGCCCCTAATGGCAGTAGCTCACCGCTTCTTGACTACTGCCGGGACTCATGTATCTTACTTAGGGTCCTAGTTGTGCCCTCCCAGCCTGAGTACCAGCCTCTGCTGCAGGTAACAGCAGGGGACAGCAGATCAGAGTTGTGAGACTGGTCCCTAACAGCTACTTTTCAATCACCTGTCCACCCTTAATGTCAGTGGGGGGAAGGAGTTCCTCCTGGTCCATGTAGCCAGAGCCCAGGGCTTCTACCTTACTTCTCTGGCCTCTATTTGCCCACAGAACCTACCATATGTGAATCAGGGAGGCCAAATATCCTAGAAAAGGGCCCTAAGGTCCACGTGAGGCCTGGACTCACTCAACTGGAGCAGACAGACTGCAAATGAATTGCAACTTTAAGGAAGAATGCCAGGAAACTCCCTGGCAGATTTTTTTAAATTCCGTGTGTCTCCCCTGACCCCAACCCCTCTGCTGGCGCACTATCCACCAGCACACTAAACTCTGCTTACTATAGAAAATCCTTGCCTTTCTCCCTGTCCTTCTTGGATTTGGTCTCATGTCACACTTGGGACATGAGATGAGAGGCTAGGAGTACCTAGCCTCCCCCTAGCTCTCAGCCCATCTCCCTTCCCCAGCCTCTTGGGTCTGAGGCAAGATCCTTCTTGAAGTCTGTCCAGGCCTTCCTTTTATTAATGTGGGGCCAGATAGGGGCTTTGGAAGGACCCAAAGGACCATCATGAGGCTGAGTTATCCCAGAGCCCCAGAACATAGATAGATGGGCCCATTTGTCCCTTACTCTCTGTTCATAGCCATGTCCTCCCACTCTGCTCCTTCTCTAGACTTCACTTCACACTTACTCTTCTCAACCTTACACAAGAATGTATCCTCTCCTTGGCCCTCCCAGTCTTCTCCTGCTTCCACCTCTCTGCCAGGCTCTATCCCTTCCCAGTCCAGGGCAGGCCCATGCTATTGGTGCTTCTTCACTTCGGGACCCAGATCCATATTTGTCTTTAGTCCTCTTCATAACACCTCTTTCAGTCCCTCTCTGGACCCCAAGGTCTGAGAGTACTAACTGGGTAAGGAATACTTGCCTCTTACCTATCTCAAAACATATCAATTTGTCTTGGCCTTAGGGTTGCTCAGGGAAGGACGAAGAGGGACAAATCCAATCATTTTCCAATCCTGACCCACTTAGCATCCCAAAGGTGAATGTGTCCTGTGCCAATCTCTCCTTGGAACTGAGTCAACCCCCTTAAACCTCCTCATTCCCCTCAATGCCATCCATAGTAATGTGCATTACTGGCATCCTTGGGGTTTAGGACCTTTGACTTAGGGCCAGTCATTTCCTGTTTGGGTCAGAATTTTCCCCACATAATGGGGGCTGTGAGATTTACATCCCAAGATTCTCCAGAGTTCTTCAGTAAAAGAATTAGATCTTTCTTTCTTTTTAAAAGATTTTTGAGAAAGAATTTGAGGAGGGAAGAAAAGAGGGTTGAGAATGTTCCTAAGTCTGAAACTCGTGTCTCTGTCCTGAGATGTCCCATGGTTACTCAAGAACAAGGTGGGACAATTTTGTCCACAGTTCCAGAGGCACAGAGAACAAAGGGGTGACTTTCATTTTTCTTCAAGCCAGCCCCTGTGGGGGTCTGTGAGCAGCTTCTACTGGAACTTTATTTGGATTCTGTGTCTGTATTTATAATTTATTTGAGATGTGATGGATAAAGTATTCTCATTTGGGGGCTGAAGTTAGCAACTGGCCCTTCAGACAGGGCAAATGGTGAGGAAATTCACTCCTGCCAAGAAGTCCCAGCCCAGAATTCCTTGGGGCAGAGGTTTTTCCCTCCTCTTCGGGAGGCTGGATGATTCTCAGCCAAGAACCTTGATTTAGGCTGTGGCCTCTCTGCATGGCCACTTTTAGAGGAAAGGCCAGTTTACCTCATTACCTCCAGAGGGCTGGTCTGGGAAAAGTACCAAGGGCAGGGCTGTCCTCATAGGACTCATGTCCCCTTCAACCAGGGCTGGTATCACTGCTTTGCGTAGTGAGGCCGGAAGTAGGAAAAGGTGTCTGATTTCTTCAGTAGCTGCAGGTGGCTAACAGGCTGGGCACTCGCCCTTTGCCCTGATAGATTCTGACCCTGCCAGGTTCCCACCTAGGATTTTCCTTTCCTCCATGTGAGTTTCTTTGAACATCATGGTCACAGGTCTCCTACTTTCAGGATTGCAGATCAGGGGTGGGGGGAGAATGTTGCATGTTGTTTTCTGGTGCTTGTTATTACATATTTGAATAAACAGTGCTGCAAGCATTTGCCATGGAGCCAAGAATAGAATTCTTCTGAGGACTTTCCCCTCTCTTCCTCTCTCTCACTTCAAGTTCTTGGACAAATATCAGCATTTCTACCAAGACATCATTCCACTCCTCTCCTCTCTGCACCCCAAGTAATATAGTCTGCTGGTTGAGCAGTTGTTTCTAGCAGGCCCCCAGTCTGGTGATATTACCTCGTTTGGTGGCAACCAATTAATCCAAAGTAAGTAACTGAGACTCATTAGCAAATTTGGAGCAAATTCAAAAGGCAGAGGATAGTGGCTTCCACAATGCTGTTTCCATTTGCTTTCCTACCATCTGTGACCTAAACAAGTTTCCTGTCAGGAGTTGAGGGCCATATGTTCCACTCTTTACTATAGGGTTCTTGCTGAACAAACTTGCATTTCCACCCCCTCTTCAGAAAGCCACATTCTACATTTATATTCCTTAGAAAAATGCAGTTGGACACAGTTATTTTACATTCAATTTCACCAGGTTTCTGGACCCCTTAGGGATTATCCATGAGTCTCAGGTTAAGATTCCTTGACCTCAGATATTATCCTTTAAGTATTTAAACCTTTCCTGGATGAAAAGAAGACAATCTGAGGCCTCCAAATTATAGACCTGGACTCATTTGCTTCCAGACTTGGCTTCCTCTTGGCTAATGGGATGTAATATGGGATGAGGTATAAGGGGTTGAGGAGAAAAAAGAGGCAGAATTTTGTCTCTATTGTGAAGAATGGGAAGAAATGTTATCAACTAAAAAGAAAGAGGCGGATGATTAAGGTAATTACCAGGCCTTAAGAAGGAAAAATGACATATCTAATGAGAGATTTTCCTATGTCAAGGCATCAGTAGCAGCCCTTCTAGCAGAGAAAATACTCATTAGAAAAAGAAGCCAAAATGATGGATGAAATCAGGGTCCAGCTACGGTTTGGGAAGAGGCAGCACAGGGTATCGATCGCAGTTCTCAGGAGAAGAGAAAGATGCTGCAAACACCAGCAGCCTCAGGGCCACTCTAGTTCTGAAGCTGGCTCTAATAGCTTTCTGACATCCTCACAGGTGATCTTGGTCAGCTCAGCTAGGCCCTACCAAACCCAGGCAGCGGCACGCCAACCTTCTGTTCTGCATCAGGGCAGTGTGAGTTTCCCACAGAGGAGGAACGACGCAGGAGCTGGGGCCCTCCCCCACTCCAACCCCTGTGTCCTTCAGCACATCTGACAGACTCCCTCCCCTTGCCCTTCTGATTCACTGCTCCCACCTCCCTGCACCCATCCTATTCGATCTACAGGGGAGCAAAGTCGCTTCGCGGCCGCTAGCCTTGGAAGGGGCGCCAGCCAGCTGGTTGGCGCATGGCTTAGAGGGACTTCTTGGGCAGAGCGAGGTTTGGGCTGTGGTGCGTGTGCACTGAGCTTGCGAGTGGACTGGTGTCATAAAGAATGTGTGCACAAAGGTTCGGAGAGGAGATCCTGGGGCTTCGGTCTATCCCTCCGCGATTTGCATTTCGGAAGGGAGCGAGCTGCAAGCACCATAGGCAGTGGCACACCCCTTAAACTACATTCCCCAAAAGGCCACGCGGGTGGGAAGGTGGGGGAAGGAGACCTGAGTTGCGCTTGCGCAAAGAGTGAGTTGGAAAGGTAGGGGGAGAGGGGCGTGCCCGCGGCGGGGAGGGGGGGTGGAGGGGGGGAGAAGGGGGCCGCGCGGCGGCGGCGCCGGGGCGGGCGCGCGTCCGCGGCGGTGATGGCGGTGCGTGAACGCGCGGCGGCAGCAATGGCCGCTCTGGAGCGGCGGGTGCCGAGTCTCGATGACTTCGCGGGACAGAGCTGGAGCTCGTGGGTGGAGCGGGCCGACCTGCCAGCGGCCGACGGTGAGTACAGCCACCCTAGAGTCAGAGGACCCCATCACTGTGCCCCCTCCCCCCCTCCGGGCCCCCGCCTGCTGAGGGGAGCCGCCGACTGGAGCCGCCGTCGGGCTCCCCGGCCCCCCAAACAAAGGACCCGCCGGGTCCTAGTGCCCGCCCGCTCCGCCACCTTCGCGCCTCCGGGTCCTAGCGCCGGCTCACCGCTAGCAGCCCACCCAGCCCACCTCTGTCTCTGCTGATGCCCCGTGCCAGCCCCTATATTTACTTGCCTTTATCTTTCTCCATGTCTGCTGGCCTCCAGCTTCCGCCCATCCTGCACCTGCTCTGGCTCTTTCCAGCCGCAGCAGTCCTCTCCACGTGTTTCCCACGCACCCCACTTTTGTGCCCCCCTTCACACCTCCTTGTTCCTTCGCCTGTTGCCCCACACCTCCTGCATCTTTTTGGCTTTTGCCAACCGGCTGCAGTGCTGCTGGACCCCCGCCCTCTCTACATTAGTTCCTCCATCCATCTACCTATCCATCCTCCCACCCTCCCTCTCTCCTTCAGTCCATCCACCCATGCCTCTCCAACCCTCGGTCCTTTCCTGGGCCTCTTGCCCTGCCTCTTGGCTCTTTCCCCTGACCCCCCACCTTCTGTAGGCCTCTGAGTGCCTTTGGTGAATAGGCCTATGGCTTCTTCTTCTAATCTTTGTCTCCTGGGCCCCAGGGAGCATCTGGCCTCATGGTCTTTGGGGGTGACAGCAGGTATCTTGCCCCTGAAGAAGTTTGCAAGTGACAAGAGGTGGAGTAGGAAACCTCATGGAGCTGTCTCAAAATGACACTTGTTCTCCTCTGAGACTCCTGGCTGCCAGCTCCGTTCTGTCCATCATTCCCTCACTTGCCTTTAACAGACTTAAGAGTGGGAGCAGCCCCTTATCTTTTACATGGCTAACCCACCTCCTCTCCTACCAGTATATGATATAAGATTGTCAACAATCTTCTTCCCTTAGAAAGGTATATTGTTAGTGGGCATCTGAGAGCAGACCGAAGTAGGACCATGGGCCATCTTAGGACTGCCCCATGTTGATGGGCATGGATGGGGCCATTGTCAGGGTCAGGGTGCATTGAAAACCGGAAATGGAATCAGACGGGTTTGGTGACTCAGAATTGATTTTTTTTTCCCCAAGGGACAGGGAGGGGGTGAACAGGAGGGAGGGGATGGGAGAGAAACTGCTTTACACAGCTAAGAATTTTTTGTCATTAACCCAGAAACTGAGGTACAAGGGCAACCCATATCCAACCAACAGCATCCTAGGAAGGGGAGACGCTCACATGGCTGACCAAGGAGATGTCAAAGGGCCTAAAGACAGTAGTCTTTCTCTTGTGTAACCATCCTATCAATGCAAGACCTGAGAAGCTGGGTATAACTTTGACAATGGTAACTCAGGTAGTGCAAAATTGAGTTTATAGGTGTGGGGGCCTGGAGAGTATCTGAGATGCCACAGAATAGCAGAAAGGATCTGCGGGAGAAATCTCAAGAAGGGACTCAGGGGTCTATAGAAAATTTTTAGGACTGTTTCTTTTTTAAAAGGGGAAGCAAGCCCCAGCAAAGAGATGATATTTAACTACAATCATCTAACCAGCAATGGACCCTAAATTGCACCTTGGTGTGAAGGGTTCACCAGAAAGGTAGCAGAATTCTTAATGGGCCAGCTCTTTTAGAGACAGCAGGTGAAGGAAGAATGGGCACTTGAGAATGACCCACTGAAAGGTCATTCTGGTAGTTCTGACTCTAGGAGTTTGTCTGGGAATGTGGGCTTCTTGGTACCTGGCTGCAGGTCCAGCTCAGGTATGGGTCTCTAGTAAAGAGGTGGGTGTTCTGATCTGTGTTTCTCCTCTAGGGGCTGAACAGGAGGAGAGTAGCAAAAACATGAAGAAGTTGGATGCCATGACCCTCATTAAAGAAGGTGGGAGTAATACATATTAGGGCTGGTTCGCAGGGTAGATGTGACCACCCTCCCCTCTACCATGTACTCTATGGCTGCCTGAAGCGGCAGATCTGGGGAGTCCTCATTTTGATAGGCCTGAGTCAGCTGGTTGCGCTGGCTCCTGTGACCTGTTGTTGGAGATTCTAATCATAGGTGATTGGTGTCCACTCATGTGAAAGTCCATGAATTCCAGTACTAGCTAGATTGAACTCTGGAAGCTGGGAACATCCAGCAGAAAGCCTGCTATGTCAGTTGGGAAGTGAAGTGCCTTCTGATCGGTGGAGTGGGAGTGACCTTAGAGGGAAACTAGGGGTCCCCAACCCCAGTGATAAAGACTTCTGTCATTGCAGACATGTCCATCTTCGGGCACTGTCCAGCCCATGATGACTTCTATTTGGTTGTGTGTAACCACTGCAGCCAGGTGGTGAAGCCTCAAGCTTTCCAGAAACATTGCGGTGAGGGGAGCCCTCGGGAGGAGATATGGGGACAGGGAACTCTGAGGATGGTCCGTTGGGAAGTTATATGGGGTAATGCAGGGTGGTACTGGAATAGGAAGATCCAGGGGGCAGCTTCAGAGCATTGAGGGGTGGAGGAGTATTGATTGAACAAATTTCTCACATGCAGCAAAGTTAAGGGGTTCAGGGAGCTGTTCTAGAATTCCGAACCTTGAAGGCTCAAGTTCAAAAGAGAAGGAAGCATAGTCGCAGTTTATGCTATGGAAACTCATTCTGTGATGCTAATCTATGGGCAGATTAGGAGTTTGGGGAAGGAGCAGTTGATAACACTCATCTCGATTACTCTCTCCACCTCCTGGTAACAGAAAGAAGACATGGGCCCCTCATCAAGCTTTATGCCCGGGCCCCACCCCCACCTCCAGCCCCTGCCAGCTCTCAGAAATGCCATGTAGTGAATGGGCAGGGTCCAGCTTGTAGGACCCCAGGTTCCACCAAAACCTCCTCCAGAGAGAAGGGCCAGGGGTCCCGGAGCCGTGGCCACCAGCCTCCTGAGAAGACCCAGAAGGACAACCTCTGGTAAGAAGAGGCTGGCCACTTCCCAAGACTGTCCCTGATCTGGATCTAGGGAGGGGTTGATACCAATATGGGAGCCCTGGGTTAAGGAGTACTGCTCACAACAGGAAGCAGCTAGCCTCGTCTACTGCTCCCTGTATTCTAGGGAATATAGATCTCTTTTCCCATGTTCCACACCCTTTCTAGAATCCACCCAAGTTCTAGGGCCTGAGAGAATGGCTCTGGGATAGAGTCTAGGCCCTAGACCCGGCCTCTCCCCTCCCAGCCCATACCATCTCTCTACGTGTAGCCTTTTCGTGCCTGTGGTGAATCTTGAGAAGATGTCCAGTCTCCCGAAGCCTGATGGACATGGAATCAGGGTGGCCCCACCCTCTGCTTTCCTCAGCCAGCCGGGCAGCCTCCCCAAGGACTCCCCTGGAAAAGTGCCCATGGCTGCCCCCTCTAAGGAGCCTCCTGGCAGAGACAGCATCGAGATAATTGCCTGTGAGGGCTCCAGTCACCAGGCCAAAGGCAGCCCCCTGGAGAAGGAGCCTAGTGGGGCCAGGGTGCCCCCCAAAACCCACCGGAAGATGGCTCGTGAGTAACTACAGTCTCGGGGTTCAGGAAGATAGAATGGGGACTCCTTTGGACTTCCTTGTCCTTGGGCCAGGTGGGTTGGAAGTCAGGGAGCACTAGACCTGGCCATCAGCAGGAACCCCATTCCATCTTGACATGCTAGTTCCCAGGAAAGCCTAGTCTCCTGATAAAGCTTGAGATCATAAGTGAAGTTACCCTTCCTCCTTTTGGGGAGTTGACCATTACCTCCTTTCTCATATCTCATGGCTGGATATAGTAGCATCCCAAATACCTGTGGCTGCTTTTGGGTCTTGATGTGTAAAGCCCTGCTGAGGCTTGAAGTCTCCAAAAAGAGTGCCTGGGCTGGTCCTACCAGCAGAGATGTGGATGCCCAGAAGATTTTGTCTGGAAAGGGGAGCCCCACACCAAGGGTTGGAGGCTCTTCTGCTTTTGTCTGAATTTTTCCTGGGCCTTTGAGAAATGCCCTTGAGGTTCATTGTGACCACTTTCCCCATAGGGAAGGAGTGCGACCTCAACCGGCAGTGTGGGGTCATAAATCCAGAGACCAAAAAGATCTGTACTCGCCTGCTGACCTGCAAGGTAGCCCCCATTCCCAGTGCATGGTGGGATGGGAATGGGGGGCAGCACAGACATGGGACCTGGATGAGGAAGAGGAATTTATAGGTTACTAAAGACCCAGTTGAAGGGATGGAGCTAGACTCACTCTAGGGCTGGGGAGAGGAAGATAACTCCCAGTGGGCACAAGGTGGGAGCAGCAGGCTGAGAGTGACTTGTAGGTTCTCCCATCCCAAAGAAGGGTTCGTTTCTTGGGGGAACACACTCACACCTTCTCACTCCCATCCCTATTCACTTAGGGCAGGGCACACTACTGCCCCTCACCTGTGCTGAGCTCACACCCGGTTCCCATCCCTCCATCCTGCTGTATTCTAGATACACTCGGTGCACCAGCGCAGAGAGGTCCAGGGCCGAGCCAAGGACTTTGATGTGCTAGTGGCAGAGCTGAAGGCCAACTCCCGCAAAGGGGAGTCTCCCAAGGAGAAGAGCCCAGGACGCAAAGAGCCAGCTCTCGAGCGCCCTTCCCAGGAGCTTCCTTCCTCAGTCCAGGCTGTGTCAGCGACAGTTGCGCCCAGCAGCACCTTCTCTGCTCGTGCCAAGCAGACCTACCCATACTGTGCACTGCCCAGGTATGTACAAGATCCAGCCCCACTTTAACTGGGATATTCGGGTGCTAAGGCAACAGGGACCCTTTGGAGACAGGCCCAGGGAGTGTTCTAGAAAATGTACTCATTCAGCCTTGACTGTGGGGGGGATACCTGGGCCCTGGCAATGGTGTAGAAGCAGGTGGCTCCCTGTTCCTGCCCACACATATCCCAGTACCCCCGCCTCTCTGTGGCAAGCCAGATCCAACACCCAGGATTTGAACATTTTCCCAGCTACTTACAAAAACCTAAAACCTATCATTGGGGAGCTGAAAGGGTCAGGGTCCTGGGTGAGGCAGTCCTACTGTGTATTTATTCACTGGCCCCTTCGTGTGCAGAGGCTGCGCTGGACCCCGGGGAGAGCCTGCCTTGCCGAAGGAGACACACACTCATCTCTGCCTGTCACACGAGGGGCAGACACGAAACAGGCTCAGCTCCCAGACAGGCTCACAGGAATATGTGATGCAAGAAGGGGGTTGAGAGAGTTGACTGGGCTGACCAGAGCTGGGTGCAGTTAAGCTCAGAAGATTTTCTGGAGGAGGCGAATCTGGAGCAGATTTTTCCCCTGAGGAGGCAGGGCCTGGGAAGTGAAGGGGCTGGGGAGAGAATCCCTTGGGAGCTGTGGCCCTGGGCTTTGTCTCTTACCCTGTAAGCTTCATCTTGCCCTCTTTCTTATCTTCCTCCTTCTTCCTCTGATTGCCCACCAGGGTGTCAGCCCTGGCCTTTTGAGCTTGATGGGTTCAGGGACACCCCTACCCTGATCCCACCCCAGTCACATCATCCTCACCTCCCCTTTGGCCCTTCCAGGTCCCGGGCCTCCTCTGAGAGTGAGTTGGATGATGAAAGCCCCTGTGGTGGTGATGGGGACCCAGGCCTGTTCCCTTTCCCTCTGCCCCGGGGTGGGGCCCAGGCCTCCAGCGAGGAGAGTGAGGAGGAGGGGACATCTGACGACCTCCACCTCCCCCCTGACTGCCATTATGCAACCCGGCCCCCGCGGCCACAGGCGGTAAGGACTTGGGACAAGGGCCTGGGGTGGTGGGTGGCCCAGTCCTCCTGGCCCACAGTATGGAGAGGAGGTCAGATCTTGTGTACAGATGCCTCCTTGTACTTCAGGCACTGCCAACCATGTCCCTTCATTTTGCCTCCAGTTCTGCACCTTTGGGAGCCGCCTGGTGAGCCCAGGATGCTATGTGTTTAGCCGCCGGCTGGACCGGTTCTGCTCTGCACTCAGCTCCATGCTGGAACGGCACCTCAACTCACACATGTGGAAGTGAGTCTCTTGGGCCCAGAAGTTTCCTTCCCAAGATGAGCATACACATACATGGACTTTAAAAGCCCTTGTCCTTACACATGCCCATTAGTGTCTCTGGCTTTTTGCCAAGATTACCCCAGCTAGGGAGTGACATGAAGTGGAGAAGGGGACCAAGCAGCCTGGAGCAGGCCAGGAATGGATAATCTGGGGATGAGCCTAGACTCTTCCTCTTATCACTTTCAGCACATTTGGAGTAACTTGGGATAGAGGATGCCCAAATGGAAACTTAAAAATGAGGTCATCTACATATATATATGTGTGTGTATGTGTATATATATATATGTAGTTCATGTATACACTATGAGTTTATTCTTTCCTCTTCCAGTGCTTCCTGCCTACCTCTTACTTCCACTGTCTCCCAGCAGATGGCAGCAATTCTGGGGCTCTCCTGACAATTTCTAGGCAGGGCAGGGGGACTGGTATGTGTTGGGAAGTCCTCTTATTTGCTTGTCAGTCACAGCAGTACTCTCTTTTTGCTGCAGGAAGATCCCACCAGCGGCTGAACCTCCATCCCACCTTGTTAGCTCCGCCTTATCTGCTCCCCTGAGCCCATCCTCTATGGGCAACTGCCCCCGACTTCCAGGCCCATCCCCTAGACCTGCCTGTCTAGCCTCCACACCTAATAAGGACAGCCTTGTTCCCAGCTACCCTGCAGGCTCCCCCAGTGTGGCAGCTGCCTGCAGTCAGGCGGAGTGCATGGGTGGCAGCCAGGCTATCACCTCACCACTGCCTGCCAACACACCATCCCCATCCTTCAGCAAGCTGCCACCTTCCAAGGCTAGCAAGTCATCCAAAGGCAAGGACCGGGTGGAGGTGGAGGCTCCTTCTCGAAAACGGAAGTTATCCCCTGGCCCTACTACTTTCAAACGGACTTGCATCCTTGAACCCACTGGAAAAGGCAAACCATCCGGCTGCCGGGGTCTCTCAGCCAAGACTAAAACAGCCCTGGCCATGAGCCTTAATGGGACAGTGGGACCAAGAATGAAGCGGGCAGGGCCCCTGGACTGTCGGGGTTCTCTTCATCTGCCCTCCACACCTGTCAAGGCTTCTCAACTGGAGAACCGGGGAGCCGCTGGACACCCAGCCAAGGCCCTGCCAACCAACTGTCTCTCTGAGGATGAAGTAGCCAAGAAGCGGAAAAACCTGGCCACTTACTGCCGGCCAGTGAAGGCCAAGCACTGTCAGGCTGGTGCCCCTATTGACACAGTCTGCTCTGTGCGCCGCAAGAAGCCAGGCCCAGCTCTGGCCTTTGAGGAGAAGTGCTCTACACTGAAGGTACCAGCCCAGCTCCCCAAAGAGCATGGGCAGAGAGGGATCAGGAAGGCTGAGTAGAGGGAACGCAGTGGGTACCTGACAGGGAAAGGTGTTAAGTAGGTGATTATACAGGGAATAGGAAAACAAAAGGAAATTGAGAGTTTCTAGATCAGTACTTTAGAGAGAGGTCATCAAGTGCTGGATCTTCCCCTATCCACAGCCTCTCCTGTGAGTTCAGGGCATGTTGCTTCCTGTCTGCCCTTGCTTTTCCTTTAAGCAGAGGGGGCTATTTTCTGAATTGCTATGGCTTTGCACCAGGATCTAAGGCTACCTATAACCCTTGAAGGAGAAGGGGTTTGGGTTCCTAAACAGCCCACAGGAAGTATGGGCTGGTCTTGTTCCTTGTTTTTTTCTGTTACATCAGGACACTGAAAGGCAGGTACACAATGCAAGAGACATGGATGCCAGCCTTATACCTCTGCTCACCTCCAGGTTCTCTGGTGATAGTTGGTTCTCCAGGGTTTCTAGTAAAACCTTCAGCTAGGTGTATCTACCTTTCCCTTGGAAGCCCTGAAGCAGCCTGCTTTAAACTAGGGTAAAATGTTTGCTAAGAAGGACTTACAGAAGACAGGATGGGGGGGGTGGTCTCCTGGTTTAGGTGTGAGTTTAAGGTATACCACCTCCCTTGGTATAGTCCAGTGCAGTCTGACAGTTGTTGGGGTTTGACCATCTGTGTCTGTGTATCTATGTGTGTATGTTCATTCACATGCATGTGTACAAGCATGCACATATGTTCTTCAACTTCACTATCCAGGCCTGTTGAGCTGGCATTCATCTTTCCCTTGCCCAGTTTCACTTACTAGGCGAGCAGAAAAAAAGTCAGGGTTTAGCCTTTAGTGTCTGCATAGTTCAATGGGTGAGATGACTTCGAGTCCTCATCCTGACCCTGTCTCTTGCCTCTTGTCTTCTTACAGTCAAAAGCCCATTAACGAGAAAGTGCCTGCCCTCTGCAACGGAGCCGCCAGCACCTCCTCCCCTCCAGATCTGGGTCCCAGGCTGCTGCCGCTTTTTATAACTTTATATTATTTTTTTTAAGAAAAAAACTCTTTAAAATACCTCAAGACTGTCTCCCTGTTCTGTTGCTGCTAAGAAAATATAAAAACAGAAACACAGAAAAGGAAGAAAAACAATGTAGCAAAACGAGTGTCCTTATTGTCCCCCAACCCCACCCAGGAGGCTGAGATGATAGGGTAGTCAGGCTCTAGCTCCCCAGGGGGGGATATATATACTCAGTCTGGGTCTGGGGTTTGTACCACTGAGGAGTCTTTATCTTCCGATAGGGTGATGAGGGATGTATATGTCTGAATGAACAAGGTTCCTGAAATTCAGACCCTAGAGCAGACTATGGTCCTATTGGAAAGGGAGATAAGGGGAGGGGAGCTGCATCTCTGGCTCTACACTTTAGGGTCTTTACCCTGTGGTTCTATGGGAGGTTGTCCTAATCCTTTTCCTTACCCTGGTCTTCCAGTAGCTACACCTCCATCCTATTCCATATTATTGTTTGTTTTTCTGGTTGTTCCTGCCCTTCCCACGTCTTACTAGTATCCTATTTTCAGCCACACAGGGAGCTTGAGCTAGGTTGGTAACTGTTCTCAGGATTAATGCTGAAGTCTATTTAGTGCCTTCTTGGCCAGTGGTTTTTCCCTTAAGGACAGGGCTCTTTGGGCTGGACTACCCCTGTCTGTAGGCAGGAAACAATAGGGAGGTCACTTGCAAAACTTAAGGTGTAGGAGGCCCTGGTTCCTCAGGATCACCTTGCTCCTCAGGGCTTCAGCAGCTGTGGGGGCGGCAAGGCTGGGAGTGCCCTAGTTCTGAATATCTCAGCTGGAGACAACTGCAGATGGGGGATGAAAGTAGCATCTTTCTCTTCACCCTCAAACCTGAATTCTCCAGGTGCGGGGCACTAGGTTTTCATCTTGTTCTTTTATTTCTCCTTGTGTTTGGGCAAGGAGAAATTTTGTTCCCTTGAATCCAAAGAGAAGGCAGGAGAGAGTCAACAGCCAGGGAAATCCCAGTACTTCAGTAAAGCTGCTAAAAACACTGATTTCACACTCAGGTCAACATACCAACTGCGTGATTTGAGCATTGATAGCAGTTGCCACAGATGTAATATCCACAGGCGGCTTAAGATACAACCCTTGTAGGCACAAAGATACAAATGTAGCTGGTAGCTGTCAGGTCTGGGTCTCCTGGGAGCGGCCCCTGAGGCTCCCCCCGCCATCCCCCAGGGGGCGCTGTGGGCGCCGCCGCCGCATTGCTGGTGGCATCCCCAGGGAGGAGCCTCTCCTGCAGCCGCCGCAGCCTCTGCCATCACCAACCCGGAAGACGCCTCTGGCAGCTGGACTGTGGGGGCTGGCCCGGCACGACCATGCAGCCTCTGGAGGTAGGTCTGGTTCCCATTCAAGCGAGGGAGCCGAGACTGACCCGCTGGTTACGGAGAGGCAGTGGGATCTTGGCGCACCTGGTAGCTTTGGGCTTCACCATCTTTCTGATTGCGCTGTCCCGGCCAGGAACCAGTGAGTGTGCGGGGAGGGGAGGGGCGGGACATGGAGGGGCGGAGCCAAGGTGCTTGAGGGGCAGCTCTCAGCAGCTATGCAAAGGGGACCCGGAACAGTGGAGGGTCTGGCCGCAGAGGGGTTGTTAGGGACTGGTGGGCGGGGCCTGAGGAGTCTAAAAGGAGTGGGGTTAAGGATGTTGGGTTTGGGGGAAGGATACAACGGGAGGGAGGGAGGTGTACTGTAGCACAGAGCTGATAGCCAAAATAGGGGCCGAATGGGGATCCCAAACCAGGATGGCTTGTGTTTACTGGGAGCCCCTTGTGGTTGCTAACCCACTCCACTTTGCCCTGAGTTCCTGAGTAGGTTTGGAATGAATACTGACCTTTCCACTGTAGCCAGAGTCTTTGGGCTCCACCTAGCCGCAGGGGTAGAGAGTGGGAGAGGGGTGCGGGAATAGTGGTGCTGAAACGTCATCAGCCTGGTCTCTTTGGTTCTTAGGTCTTTTCTCCTGGCATCCAGTATTCATGGCCTTGGCGGTGAGTTTGAGCTTCTATCTGCAACTGATTCTGGATATACTTAGCATCACCCGTGGGAAAGCAGTCAACTTTCAGGAGGCTCAGACTAAGGTTCAGAGACGTGGGGTAAACAGCCAGGGCTTCATCTCTCCCCATAGTCTATGGGGCTGGGAAACAGGGAGGACTGGGCCATGGGTAAAGTGTCTGGTGTTTAAGAAGATGACAGGGCATAGGAGAGATTACTTCACTGGGTCCTGAAAAGAAGAAGTAGAAGGCATATTATCATCATCACTGTCCTTGCCCCCAAAGTTCAGGAGAAAGTTTAACATTTGCTGTTCCACTGGTCCCAAAATGGGAAGGCAAATGTCATCTGGCACGATGAGACTTACATTCAAGTACCAAATCCATTATTCAAGTGCTGACTTATAAAGCAGGAGGTCTTGGCAGAAGTCCTGTAGCCTCCACCCTTTGTTCTCCATTTGGATATGTGAGGTTACCTCCTTTTTCTCAAGCCTCTAAACCAAATCTGCGGCTCATTGGCCCTCTTCTGTGTTCACAGTTCTGCCTCTGCATGGCTGAGGCCATCCTAATCTTCTCGCCTGAGCACTCCCCATTCCTCTTCTGCACCCGAAAGGCCTGGATCCGGCTCCACTGGGTAGGGCAGACCCTTACCATCCTCTGTGCTGCCCTAGGCCTGGGCTTCATCATCTCCAGCAAGATCCGCAGTGAGCTGCCCCATCTGGTGTCCTGGCACAGCTGGGTGGGAGTTCTGACGCTGCTAGCCACTGGCACCCAGGCACTGTGTGGGTTGTGCCTCCTCTTTCCCCGGGCAGCGAGGGTCTCAAGGGTGGCTCGCCTCAAGCTCTATCATCTGACATGTGGACTGCTGGTATACCTGATGGCAACAGTAACAGTGCTCCTGGGAATGTACTCAGTGTGGTTCCAGGCCCAGATCAAAGGTGCAGCCTGGTACCTGTGCCTGGCACTGCCCCTCTACTCAGCCTTGGTGATCATGCACCAGATTTCCAGATCCTACTTACCAAGGAAGAAAATGGAAATGTGAGTGTCTCCAAACAGAATTCAGGAGGGCTACTTGCCTTGGACTTCAGTGGTTCCTTGATGAACAAGGGACCTACTTTAGAAGGGCTTGGATTTTTGTACTTCATAATTAGGCCAGGAGCTGCAAAAACCCAAGCATATATTATTAGTGATGATTCAGTGGGCAAAAATGAGGAAGTGTATGTGGTACAAGTGGAAGGTGATAGAGAATTTGAGCCTGAAGCCTCCACTTTTGATGGAAGACAGAAGTATTAGGTGATGGTGGTGGTGGCAGTGGTGGTGATTTCCCATTTGAAATGAAGAGTTGGATTCATGCAAGTTATGAGTGAACTACCGATAGTTGGGTCCCATTTGAGAAAGCAATGTGATGTAGTGGAGAAAACCCATGGGTCTTGCTTGTGGTCTTCTTAGGTTATTGTATAACCTTAGATAAATTCTGTATCTCAGGACCTCAGTTTCTTCATCAAGCAAATGTTTCTAAACCATCTCTAAGTCCCTTTCATCTCTAATATTCAATATTTTTCAAGTTGATGTCACTGAACCCTCTCCCCACTCAGTACTGTGTGGACCATGTAGCAGACTTAGGATATAACTTTTATATTCATTCTCCTTTTACCCCCTTGAGAAAGATGTCTGCCCCTGTGGCCCTTCAGAAATCTTGCCGATTTGGCTCCTGGAGCAGGGCACAAGGGATCTGGCATTGGTCAGAAGGGCCCAAGGGAATGTCCCCTGGACTCCAAGACAGTAAAGGCACTAAAGTCACTTTAAAATTTTTGAAGGTATGATGGCCATTGGCTTACCCAGGCTCTTAGCTTCTTATAGAATCCTTAGCTCAGTTAAAAAATTTCCTTTAGTCCACCTCAGGATCTGGCCTGCAGAACTTGGATGTGTTCCTTCCCCTTACCTCTATTCTCAAGGCAAAGTAGTCTTGGGCATTTCACATTTTGCTCTTATTAGGGCTCAGGGTCTTGCCTTAGCACATAGCTATTTTGATGCTTTTAGAACAACATAAAGACCAAGGAAGTCGGCAGGATTCTTCTGATCTAAGGAGAACAAAGTCTCCTTGGTTCCCTTTCTCTCCTTGTCATCCAAGCTTTCCTTAGTTGTCATCTCCTGTCAGCTTTTTGACCCAAGAGAGGTCTGTTTGGCCAGCTGGCAAATGAGGGCTGGGATCTCTTCCTTGCAGAAAACCCTCCTCCTCATTCCAGCTAAAAGTAGTTCCCCGGACTGCCTTCAGTGATAAGGGCTAGATGCCAAACTGGTTAGCAATGGTCTAGCTCATTCAGGATGATGAGACCTCCATAGATCACAGGACTGGAAATAATTGGCTTTCCATACAAATACAACCCATTGGAAACTGGGAGGCCTGGGATCCATTTCCTGTGATCAGGGAGAAGCCTTCTTTGATGTTAGTATCTTAAATGTCCTGGGCCTTCTCAAGCTTCCGGGCTTCCTCTGCATATGACTCAGAAGCAAGCAGGTTGGTGTGATTCAGTAGCATAGGAATGAGGTCTGAGAGGGCAGATACATTCCCAGTGGGCCTCACTATTTCTCCTAAGTGAGATGGCATCTTCCAGGAGCTCTGTAGATGTTGAGCATCTAAAGGATGTGCAGAGGGTGATTGTCCTCTCTCCACCTCACACTACCCAACATGATGTAAAGTTAGAAGCAGTAGTTACTGGGTTGCATGGAGGAGATTATCATCTAGGGTCACTTTGATCCAGGCATTCTACCCCTCCCCTGATCATGGCCAGTGCTAGGGTCTGTACGGGGTGAGAGGGCCTGGTAAGGCTCATCAGCCTGCTCTGAGCAGCAGGCAATGCCGGAAAGCCTGAGTCTGCCTGAGGTGTTGCCTCCTCCCAGGTGGTGCGGGGGCTGGTGGGCGGGCGGGCAGGCAGGCAGGCGTGCTGACAGCCGGCAGTTTGCGTGGGCTGTGCCATCTGATGTCTATTCCCAGCCCTGGGAGGAAGGGGAATCATTTATATTCTGCAGGAGGAAGGGACCCAGCTGTCGTCTCTCTGACCAGTGGGCCTGGAGAGCAGGGCCTAGGCGGTCTGTTTAGCCCAGTCTGACTGTAGTGTAGCGAGTTGGTCACCAACAGGAGCCTTTTATTTTGGTAGGCCAGATTGTGGGGGAACCTTCCTCCCCTCCCATCTTTCCATTTCTCCCTCCATCACCACCTGTCCTCACATCCTGGGGCAGCAGCTGGACAACCATTAGACCTCAGTGCCAGGGTACTCTTCCTGTAGCTGGGATCTCAGTGGCTGCCCACAACATATGCCCCCTGGCTGTGTGCTCTATCCTCCTTCTATTCCCCCTCCCCCACTTCTCTGGATCTCCTGATGTCTGGGTACTAGCTGGGCCCCTCAGCCAGGCAAAGGCCTCAAGGGAGAAGCAAGATGGCTGTCCTTTTCCCTGAGAAGGGAAAGCTGCTCTACAAAACAAACAGAAAAAACAAACCAAAAAAAAAAAAAAAAACCTTCCAGGGTGCTCAGATTAAAAAATAAAACAAACAAAAAAGCTGTCATTTGCACTGATTTCCATATCAGGCTCCCTAAATGATGATTCCAAATTTGATTATGTTCCAAGTTTGATTATATTCAGACTCAACCTTGAGTACATTAGCAACATAGATAGCTTTGTATCCAGATCCAAATGGTAATGGGATTGCCATTCTGGGTTTGAATACCTCTTACAAGCCCCCACTTTTCCTGTAACTACTTATTTCTTTGAGTCCTATCAGGGCTGGGAGTGGTGTTGAATGAAGTTGCATGTCTGAGGAAGTTGTCCAGCCTCACCTCTTTGGTTGTCAGCTCCACTGGAGATGTGTTGTTGTCACTAGCCAGCCTGTACCTCCTCTCCTGACTGCTCACAAGGCAGACTACCCTTCCCTACTCCCTGACACTGGCCTGTCCATTCTTTCTCATTTTCCCCATCCTGGCATCCCCATGCATGGCTGCTGTGGGTCTTGTTTTTCCAACCTCACTGTGGGAGATGCAGGCATCATCCCTGAGCCAGCTGGCTGCTATGCCAAGGCCTGTTCAGTTAATAATAATCATTAGCTGAATGGTGCTGGGGCCTTTCAGCTCCAGATCTCTAAGCACTTGCAGGTTGAGTCAACAGCCCTCACTTTCCTCCTCTTCCTGGGCTGCAGAGTGTGACAGAATGGGGAGGCACTGTGGGAAAGGGGGAGTCAGGAGTCTTGTGGCCTGGCCATCCCTGAGGCTTTTTCTGGAAACAGGTAGTGAGTCCCCTCCATAAACTACTAAGTCCTGAGCCCATGAAAAAGGTTGTAGGGAATACAGTGTGTGTTCAGTTGAGACTGGTGGTGGCAGTGGCAGTGGCAGCTGGTGACCTGGAACCTTTAGTACTCCTGGCTTTCCTTCTGTTTACGTGTTGTGGCCTTCAGGGGGCACTCTGGATCCCAACCCCTCAACCTAAGCTTTTCCAGTGCCTCTCTGCAAGCTCAGGGAGCAGGGAGGCTTCTGGTTTAGTGTCTCTGATCCCCCTGTGTGTGGTTGGCATAAATAGCCTGTGCATCATAACATAAAAGATACACTGACCTGGAACCTGGGAAAATTGCTGTATCAGTTTACTCAGTCCCCACCTCTGGTGTAGCCGCAGGCAAACCATTTGCTATTTGACCTACCTCACAGGGAAGCTGAGAGAGTTAGATTAGAGAACCCATGTTAACAGGAGATGGAAAGTTCAAAGCATTAAATTATGTAAACAGCTGGTATTACTGTGTTCTTGTCCTTTTCTCTCTCACTGGCTCTGGGCTTAATGCTTCTTAGGGAGGCAATAAACATTTATGGATAATGATGCTTGGGGGACCCAAGAGACACATTTCTTACTTTAAGATGCAAGGTCAGTTTTTATGAACTCCAGGAGCCAGAAATGCCACCAAGGCCATAACCAGTGAGGGTTGCTCTAACTGCTGCCTAGCTAGTGTTTTCAGGTCATGGGGCTAACTACTAATGGTGGAGTCAGAACAACTGTCCTCTAGGGCTAGCCAGAGCTGGTCTTAGATAGGAGCTGCTGGCCACAGGTCCAGCTAAATATCCTCTCCCTGATTTCGTCCTTCTTAGCAAGGAGGGGCACATAAGTCAGGAAGTGAGAAGTGATAATAGAAAACACCATACCGCCATCCTGACCCCTCTTGTTTTCCCTCTGTAGCCTCAAGCCCTCACGCCAAGCTCTGGGGATGGACATGGCTTCTGGCTTCCAGAGGTCCAGTTGGTTTCCCTTCCTTATGTCAGATTCTTGGAGTAGGATCACAGTCTCCTCTTCCTCCTCCAAATGCTTTATTGAAATTCACTCACATACACATACACACATACTCGCATGCCATGAAAGTCTGTTTAAATTTGAAATCTGAGGAAGGAGGATACTTTCCATTCCATTTGCCTGAGAACAGAACAGCTTGGAGTAAGTGCAGAGAGGCAGGAGCAACAGCAACACACAGGTTTTAATATTTGCTTTTTAACTCCCCCCCCCCATCCTGGAACCTAGGAATTAAATACTAATCAGGAATTGTAGGCATAATCTCACTCATTCTCACGACCATGGACACAAAGAAGCCATAAATTAAAGGTGAGAGGATAGGGCCCTAGATCTGTCCTGGAGGGTGGGGGGCAGTAGTCTCTGCACTGGGCTGGACTCACACAGACAAAATTACTTCCAGTGAACACTACTTTCCTCCCTACACCACCCTGAAGACTTGGCTCCTCACCAAGGAGGTCTCTGAATAACACATTTTTTTTTGGTTTTTGTTTTTTGTCTTTTTGAGACAGGGTTTCACTATACAATTCAGGCTGGCCTAAAACACACTTTGTAGTCCCACTGGCCTTGAACTCACAGCAGTCCTCCTGCCTCAGCCTCCTGAGTGCTGAGCTGGCTTGCAGGCATGCACTAGCATGCCTGGCTAACAGTACATTTTTAATCCACTTGCTATTGCCAGAACTTCTTTTTTAACCTCTTTTGGGAGCAGACTAAGGAACCATTTCAAGTCAACTCTTTCAGTGAGTATACCTGATAGCCCATAGCACTGCTATCTTTAAAGTATATTCCTACTTTTCCCACAACCTAAGTATGCCCAGTTGTGCTTAGTCCCACACCAAAAGCAGATTTTGACCAACTAAGGCAGAAGTGGGAGGTGGTTATGACTCACTTTATGTATGCCAGTACTGAAGGGCACTTAGACGTCCCACTGCAGGACTACATATTCTGGCTCACTGAAAGATGGTTCTCAGGCCATTGTTCTATTCCCTCTTTGCTCAGGGAGGGGGCACAGACACAATAACTAGGCTCACTGGGAAGGTCTTAGGATGTATCTTAAGTATCTTCATCATTTGATATTTTCCACTTGTCAGTTTATATACCTGATGAAAAGGCTTGATTAACAGCTACTTTAGCCTTCCTCTCTCAAGCCCTAGGAGAATCAGCATCTGGGATAGATCTACTGTGGCCTGTCCAGAAAAGCCAACTATCCTACTGAAGGAGCCTGAGCTTTTTCTGCTATGTGTGTGGGGAAAGTTGAAGCTACTCCATTAGTTTCCTGGGAGACAAGTAGTACAAATACATAAAGGGGAGGAGTTGAGAGACCAGGTGAAAGAAACAGTCTAGGCCATGCTCTGAACTCTCATTTTCCGTTCTAAAAGGCAACTGTCACATTAGCCTCCTCCACCCCCTGAAGTGCTACTTACGGTGGGGTGGTGAAAGTGCTATAAGCCATGGCATACACAATTGCACATCTTGGCCAAGATCTGGGAACTTCTTGTGACTTTGGGTGGCGTAAGGCAGCAGAGTTGAAGCAATATGGCTATGAACTTCCTTGGGATGATGGAGAAAACAGTATCAAAATTTAGGCCTAAGATATGCCTGGTGGGGGCTGAGGATTTAGCTCAGCGGCATAAGCATCTGCCTTACAAGCAGGCAGTCGTGAGTTCGATTCCCGGTACCGATAAAAAAGAAAAAAAAAAAGACAAAAAAAAAAAAAAGATATGTCTGGTGGCACAGACCTATAACCCAGAACTCTGAGAGGCTGAGTTAGGGGCTTGCAAATTCAATCCCAAACTGTGCAATTTAGTAACTTAGGGAGACCCTATATCCAACAATAAAAATAAAATAACGCAATGGAGATATGGATCAGCGTGAAGGCCCTGAGTTCAATCCATAACACTGCAAAGAACAAAACAGAAAATCAGGCTTAGAGATGGGTTGTGGCAGGGGCCAAGAAACAGGAGAGAATAACTAGTCATTCTCAGGCTGCTCTCTTTACCCTAAATATGCCTGATCTCACCTATTCTCTTTACCAGCTTATCCTCTGGGCCAAACTGTCAGCCATAGCAAAAAGTTTGCAAAGACAAAAAACTGTAAACATGGGCTATGGGAGGGCTTTGACATGAAAATCCATCATTTTATTACTCATTGCCAACACTGATCCATCTGATGTGCTGGTTGTAAGATGTTTGTATCCTTCACCAGCTCAACTGTTCCTCATGAACTAAAAAAGACTTAACTTCCAGCCAGCATGGTAGTGCATGCCTGTTATCCTATCTTGGGAGGGTAAGGCTAGAGGATTGCAAGTTCGAGGCCAATATGGCAGCTTAGCAAGATCTTGTCCCAAATTTTAAAAATAATATAAAAAGGGATGGGGATGTAGGTAGTGCTTGCTCTAATATGTGTGAGGGACTGGATTCAATCTCCAGGACCATTCATACATATACATACATAACACACACACACATGCATACATACAATATGCAGACCGGGACCTGCCTGCTGGTTGAAATTTTATAAATTTAAGAAATTAGGTAATTACACAAATTCTTATCCTTTCAATTTCCTTTTTTCCCCCTCCTTGTTACATGTTCTCTCTCCCTTTGGGACCTACAATCCCAAAGGGACAATCCCCTGCTAGAAGTATCAAGAGAGTGGTCAATGAATTTGGCTGATTAGAGTTTAGAATCCATTCCAGTTTCTGGTAGGCTATATCTTTACCAAAAAAGTGAAGATTACATTTTCTCATTGCACATAATGCCTAGAACTCACTAAACTGTTGGTGAGTATTAATTTATGCATTAAATGAGTATACTTTGGCCTTAAAATGGCTTCCATTTACAACATGAAAATACACTCATAATAATCAAAGTTACATGTAAGTGAGTGGGTTCCCACTATGTTTCAAAACCCATTCCAATCATTTTCCCACAGTATCCCTAGTAAGCTCAATCTAGACTTTTAAGAGCATTCTGTGGAGGAGTCAATCCTCCCCTCAGACCCAGAAAACCTTCATTTTCTTTTGAGTCTTAGCCCAGGGCATAGAATTTCTAAACCTGCTTACTAAAGCCTAATAATTGAGAATCTGTCTCAGAGGCTTGGAAAATATATTCCAGTAGTCAAACCATCTTACTGCCTGGATTTGTGTGGTCTGTGATCTATTGATAATTTTTATATTTTTATTATTTATTTATTTAGGTCCTGGGAATCAAACTCAGGACCATGCATTTTCCAGGCAAGCACTTATGCTACTGAGCTATATTTCCAGTCCTACATTTTTAAGCACACTTTAAAAAAAATTTTTTTTGGTACCAGTAATCGAACCCATGACCTTGTGCTTGACAGGCAGGTGCTTATGATGCTGAGCTAAATCCCTACATTTTTAAACGGTTACAAAAGCAAAAAACACCAAAAAGACATACTGAACCAGGTGTCATTCATGTATGTAATCCCAGCAATCAGGAGGCTGAGGCAGGAGGACTGCTGTGTTTGAGGCTAGTCTGGGCTACAAAATGAGTTCAAAGCCAGCCTGAACTGTATAGTGAAACCCTGTCTCAAAAAAAAAAAAAATGCTGAAATTGTATCTAATTCAAATTTCAACATCCATAAATAAATTTTTATTATGCACTATGGTTTGGTTATTGTTTTAATTGTTACCCCAAAGGTAACTGTACTGGAAGCTTGGTCTCTAGTGTGGTTGTTTTGAGAAGCGATGGAACCTTTAAGAGGTGGGACTTAGGGATAAATTAATGTAGTACTGATGGGACCCTGGTTAGTTCCCACAAGAGCAAGTTATAAAAAGCCTGACCTCTAAATCTGTCTTCCTGTCTCACCACTATGTGATCTCTTCCATCTGTGTTCCCACCATTGTGATGCCATCACTTATAAGGCCCTCACCAGAGGTCAACCAGATGGGGCCACCTAATCTTGAATTTTGATCCTTAAAAACTGTGAGCTAAATTAATTCTTTCTTGTGTTTTGGTGGTACCAGGGATTGAACTCATGACTTCATGCTTGCCAGGCAGGTACTTACACCACTGAACTAAATCCCTGGCCCTAAATCTTTGTAAAATACTTAGCCTGAAGTATTTCATGATAGCAACAAAAAAAATGGACTAATACGTTGAAACGGAACCACAATCATTTATTCATGTACTTCCTGTGGACACTATCAGGCTAAAGCAGCATAGATGAGGTAAAACAGACTGTGACCTACAGAGTCTAAAGTATTTACTATCTGGCTTCTGACTCTAGTGTATCTTATTGTTTAGATGTCAGTTTTACCCATATTGTTATATTGGCATTTAAAGATTCTCTGTCTAGGCCGCTGTACCTATACAAGGTACCATAAATCCCACCCACAAGCTTAAAAGATAAAATAAACCAGCACAGACCATGCTAGAACAGAGACTCAAGCCAGGTTTAATGGTCATTATCTAGTTTTCAGAGCCCACAGGCTCTTAGATTTGCCAGCCTGGGTGTACACAAGTGGGAGGAACAGGGTCCTGGACACTGGAAGACATACAGAGGTAAGAACACACACAAAACTGGAATCAATTGGCTTTGCTCTCCCCAGGTGAGATGTACCCTCCCCTGCCCCCTTCTCAGAGGCCTAATAAATACAAGCAAAGAAAAAACGATCACAAATAGTTACATGGACAGATTGTAGAGCCCTGTCGTATTCTGTCTCCAAGGACACCTGCTTCCTGGGAGATATGTCTGGCTTACTGGTGCAGGGTAGGGTGAGGGGAGGAGGTGTCTTATAACCACACCTGGTAGTTTCTACCCAAGTTCTACAAAGCTTGCTGAAGGGTATGCTTTTGGTGAGTATTCAGTCCCCCAGCCACCTTTGGGTTTTATCAACTGAAACCACGAGAAGCTAATCAGTTAAACCTCTCATGGGGGCAACCTGGCACATCTTCGAGGTATCTCAAACTAGTGGATACGGTAGGGAGACTTAGAGCTGCAAGGACTCAGGAAGAAAATGGCCCCTTAACTCTCATGGAGCGCAGCTAAAATGCCCCAGAAGGCTTGCTTCATTTGACTTTCATTTTAAAAGTGTTTCAGAGCCCTGGGTAGTAAGATGAAAAATTGCAGCATGAAAAAATACTTTCCCATGTTTCTTGCTAAGTCTGAGGAGAGAGTCCTGGTGCCTGTGGCTCTGGTGACAAATCCTTGTAAGTCTCTGGGGTATAGCCAGAAAATGTTTTCCTCCACCTTTTGTCTTATTAGAGCAGTTAACATTAGGAAGAGCAATTCATAGCTTCTTGGCCCCTGCTAGTTTCTTTCTGGGTCCTTCATTGCCCTAGTTCTTAGTATCTTGTATATGTAATTTTTAAGGAAGTTTTCTCAGGAGTCTGAAGAACTACCTAGGGCCTCACGACCCCTTCTCAAAAGATCTTCAACCCATGGTCCCTCTGACTCCTAACTTTTCCAGAGAAGTGATTCAGAGTCATGGAGATATGAAAGTTCAGGCAGTTCAAAAATTAAAGTATAACAGTTTGTATATTTAAGATGCCTGGCATGGTCACTGTCTCTCCTACAGCACAAGAAAAGTGTGCATAAAGTTGTGCACAAAGTGAGAGACTATTGGAAGTGGCGTTAGTGGGGACTACAGATCCATTGTCCTGTTGGAGGTCGAGGTGCTGGTGTGCATGCATATTTAGGAGCGTGCATAGCTATGAGCATGCAACTACTTGAGGGAAATTGCTGCACCTCTCTCTTGACCAAACTAGGTTATTAATAAAAGATGGACAGCAGCCTTGAGATCCCAGGGACAGATAAGGAGAAGATATTGACTTCAAGCCCCTTCCCCAGTCTTAACAGGCGGCTTAACAGTCAGGCCCTCCTAGAAAACAGTTCTCATCCACAGATAAATAACACTTCTTAGAACCTAAAAGGAAGATCAGAAAACTAGAGGACCTGAAGAACTTTCAAGAGACAGGAAACAGAGGAGAAGAGACATTAAAAAGGACCAACGTCAAAGAGCATTTCACCTTTGCCCTGCTCATGCTGCTGCCGAAGCTCATAGTCTCTCAGACCTGTACCATGGTTACAGGAAGAAGTTAAAAGAAAGCAGTCATCTTCATACCCAAACTATTCTGAAATTCTGGCTGGAAACAAATGTTCTTATGTTCCTCTGGCCTAACAACCACAACTGCACAGACCTCAGGCTGAGGGATCGAGTGGCAGAACTTTCCATCTGGAAGTGTAGTGCCATTGGTTTCCTCCACTACAGGAATGACTTGAGCTTTAAGGAGAGGGTAAAACTCTATGCTGCACTCCAAATTGCCATCCTGAGACAAAAGATCACCCAGTTCCAACCCTTCAGATGACTAAATCTCATGCTTTGGCTTTGCACCAAGAGTGAGATCTCAGAGAGGAGCGATGTAACCTTGTCAACACAGAGGAGATACCTGGGTTTCCTCCATCTCCACACTCAGTCTAACTGAGCTGGGGCCAGATTTTCCTAGTCTTCTCTTTGCAGAGCAGCATATTAAGGGAAACTCAGAATCCTAACCTAGCTTGATAAGGAGACTGAAGAGATGGTATACATGGAAAATCAAATAGGTTCCATTGGCTACTACATCACAGAAGCTGATTTACCCTCAACGTCCTGGTGAGAGTGGGCCAACAGTATCACATCTACAGCAGCTATCCATTAAAGTTCTGGCTTCACCGACCCACTCTGGTCTGACACACAGATCCTGGGAAGCAAATGTTAACCAAGAGTTTTTCCAATCAGGGAATTAGCCTATCTGGAATTCACCCTGCATCCACAAGTTTTGTACTAGCAGCTATTCTGTGATGGGGTCTCTTAATTTATGCTGTAACTGTGCCACTGGTCCCAGTATAAGGCACAGATACCAGATCCCACATGCTGCCCATTCAGGCCAGGGTCCCACTAAGATCCATCTACCAGGGCTCACTGGGAAAGAGGCTTTAGAGGAAAGACTCACAACAATCTTGGGGAGCATTACCAATCAAGGCCTCATTTTCCAAAGATTTCCTATTCCCCCGCTGTGAAGTGTGACTTCCTGACCAAAGAAGATACTGAAGCTTTCTCAACATGGCTCCTGTGGAGGCTCTCCCAACACACACAACTTCACAGGTGTGGGTGGGCAGAGACAAAAAAAAAATGTTTTTAGATGATTTTCCTTTAAGGAGCTAGGGATGACCTCAAAAAGGTTAGGGAATCTGCTCTTCCCTTTACCCCTTTCTCATTCTCATCCAACTCAGACATGCCCCTCCTCCTCTACTACACTGAGAATTGCCAGGACTTTGGGTAGGGGTGTAGCATTTGCCTGAGGATTAATATATCCATATTTGAAACTAGCGGCAGCCACACCGTCAGTGGGATCTTGCCTACTTTTGTGCCCATGACCAATTCCCCAGAGGTCAGGAAGAACCCATTCCCTTGGGCAGCCAGCCCTCTCTTCCATCCCCTCATATCCTTCAGGGGTGCATTACCTCTCCTGGGGCACAATCTCCCCACCAACCTATCCTGCTCACACCACAATGGGTGTATCAGAGAAGACCGAGCTGACAGATTCTGGATCTGACATCCTCCGTTGGCCCTTGCTTGTTGCCTCGGGCACTGGCAGGGTGTTACCTGGCTTGAGCTTGCCGTTCTGACCCTGCCCAGGTCCAGCAGGTTCCAGGAAAGCCACCCGCCGATCAAAACCATCATCTTTGTCCCCACCAGCCATAGGATCATGGTTGGGTGTGGTACTAAGCATGGAAGAGCTGAGGCTGTCACCTTGATGGCTGGAAGGCTTCTCTACACCCCGGCACCAGCAGCGGCAAGGGGTGAGGTACAGATATATGAGGACCAGGACCACACTGAGAATACAACCCACTAGGGTGGTATAAGCTGTGTTGAGGGTGTCATGGTGCCCATGCAAGGTGAAGTTGTATACTTTTAACTCCACTGACAGTGTCTCATTGAAGGTCTCCCCCATGGCATAGCATGTATACACACCCCCATCTTCAACCTGCACCTTGTTGAAATGAAGATTGCCATCCTTGACTGTCACTGTGCCATTGGCCACCTTATCTAGCACCCGTTCATTGCTTGGTGTCACCCACACCTTAGTCATCCCCTGCTGCCTGGTGTCACACTTGATAGTAAAGGTCTCACCCAAGTGAGCCTCCCAGGCACTCTCCTTGTACTCGCTGCAATTGAGAAAACTTAGGTTGAAGACATTGTGCAGCTCCTTGGAACGCACACAGTACAGATCCTCCTGAAAGTCCATCACGGAGCTCAGCTGCCGGTACTGCCAGTGTGAAAAGAGCTGATAAAGCTTGCAGTTGCATTCCAGGGGGTTGTTATGTAGGTACAGTCCATTCTTGATCCATGCTGGCAGCTTCTGCAGGTCACTCAGTGGCAACTTGTTCAGCTTGTTGGAGGACAGATCCAAGAGTGTTAGTTTGGGTAGCTTGGCTCTTTCGTTGACCAGTTCCAGAGGGAAGCGGGAGATCTGGTTCTGGCTCAAGTACAATTTCTGGAGCTGGGCCATGTCATCAAAGGCATAGCGGTCCATTGTCATGATATGATTATTGTAGAGCAGCAGCACCTCCAGTGCTTGCAGTTCACTGAACAGGAACTCGTCCAGCGTTCGCAGCTGATTGGAGGACAGATCCAGGTAGCGCAGGTTGGGTACTGGGGAAAAGGCCTCCGAGGAGATGAAATTCAGGTGGTTGTGGCTCAGCAGCAGGGAATGCAGGTGGGTCAGGCGCGTGGGGGTCCACTCAGCCCGCAGGCGGCTCAGGTTGTTGTGGCTGAGGTCCAGAAGTGCTGTGTAGCTGGGTAAGGAGTGGGGCACATTGGGCAGTTGCTGTTTAGAGCAGCTGAGGATGTTGCTGGCACACAGGCAGGCAGCAGGGCAGCTAACCACTGGTCGGCCAGCTCTGGCCACCTCAGAGAGGAGCAGGTACAAGGACAGCAGCAGGAGCCAGAGGCCTCGCAGGTCACACTGAGGTTGCATAGTGTCACTACAGAGGGTGAGGAAGGCCACAAGGAAGATCTGGGAGGCTGTCACCCGGGCATGTTTTTCGGTGGGGCTGGAAAGGATCTCTTTCACTACAGGCTTGAGAGAAAGAAGATGGGTTTGTGGTCACCAGGGACTCTGGAGGAAGGATGGCCACTCCCACTTTCCCCTTCCCCAGCGCCCACCCCATCCCATTGGTTAGAAGAGAAAGGAAGAAATGTTAGGTAGTTCTCAGTTACTATGCAGGCAATGGACTTAAAATACTGGGGCAAAAGAGGTGGTACAAAGGCCTACTAGTCTTGACTCATGGGTGTAGAATAGGGGTATACACAGCATGTCCGGGACTGTTCGGGGTCACTAGGATTGCAGACGCGGGGTTTAGTGACAGGGTCAGCCGGGCCTTCGGGGAGGAGCTAAGGGAAGGTCAACAGGGCACCGAGCTGCGTAGGGCGCGTCCGGAAGGGTTTACGGTCTCTGGGGCCTGTCAGGGCGGGCTCCCCCCAGGAACCTCTGGTCACTGCACCTGCTCGAAGAGGACGTGCCTCAGCCCATGGCCAGTCCTGGAGCTCCGTCGCGGCCTCCCCCGGCGGCGGCGCCTCACTGGCCGGCCTCTCAAGGCTCCCGTCTTACGCAGGGGCCCGCGCCCGGCAACACCGCCTCCAGGGTACTTGCGCGGCTCCGCGGCGCTCCCTCGCTTCTCCACCTGGACTGCTGCGCTCGCTGGAGCCCACCTAGCACAGCCGCCACCTTCAGGTCGGCAGGCCGGGCGTGGAGCTGTGCTGGGAGCTGGAGGTGCAGCGATGCGAGCCGAGGGAGCAGCGTGGGGGTAGCAAGCACCGCGCGCGCGCCCGCCGCCGCCGCGCCGCCGGAGCCTCGGGGCGCGTGCGCGCGGCGGGGGCGGGGCGCACGTGCGTGTGTTTGTGTTGGAGCTCGCCTGGTGCGCCGGGTGTCCGGCCGGCAGGTGTCCACCGGCAGGGTCCTGCACTTGGTGAATCTGTCCCGGTTGCTGAGCTGGTGACAAAGAGTCGGGAAGGGGATACTGGTCGCTTAATCTCGTCTCCTACTTCCTCCACCTTCCTCCTCTTCTTTTGCATCCTCCCACCCCCCATTCTGCCTTCTTGCCCCCAGTTATCCTTCCTCCTACCAAATTGTTGGCCGAAAAGTTTGCCTCTCTAAAGTCAGTTTGCTGCAGCTGAGTCCAGGGCAGGAGGCATCACATGTCTTAATTTTCCAAATTAAACAAGTCTGGCTCAGCTCCCGCCTGTCAGTGTTGGCGGGAAGTTCATTAATTACCTTTAGAGGTCCCTCCTCCCTTCTCGCTAAGGCTGAAATCCGAAAAATTTGGGGAAGGACACATTTTGTTTCCTTTTCCCCTTCAGTGTTGATGCCGCTGGTCCATAATTCTTGGGGTACCTGAAAGGCACAGCTCTATAGCCTGCGTGCCAGCTGGGTGGGTGGGGCAGGCTCTTCTTCGCACTCCTGAATCTAGGCCCATTAAAACTCGTGCAGCTTTCCCCACCCCACCGCCTAAATACACAGCAGAGGTTGTGTGCAAGCCAGGGACACGTTTCCATTCCTAGAAACTCCAAAATCCATACTAGCCTGAAGGAAGTAATTTATCCCTTCAGCCTGGCCACCTGCCCTCTTCCTGAACCAGTTTCCCCTTGCCTTATGGAGCAATTCCAGCAGAGTTTCTCTGTTACCTTATCCTCAAGATGAAGGCCAGTGCTGAGGCTGGGGTGTCTTTCCTAGGGTGGTCCCTGAAACACAAGCTGTTAACCAGTGTATGCTCGTGGGTTGGGGGTGGGGCAACAGGATGTAGGAAAACTGGAGACCTTACAATTTAAGATTTTTACCTATTTTTGAAATGGTGGGCCCTGAGGGAGAAATTCCATTTTATTCTTTCTAGTCTCTTACAACAGCAAGACCAAGACTGAAATTAATGTCTCAATAGATTAACCTGCTAAATTTTAAAAAGAAAGATTCTGTATCTGTCACATATTTTACCATGAATTTAAGTGGCTGTATTATCTTTTTGAGAGATATTACCATGTTACCCTTGTGCATATTGTGACAAAAGTCTTTACTTTCCTACTTATGTCAGGCACTGATGAGAAGACAAAGAGGCTGTTATTTTTGGAGAGCAGGAAGAGAGGAATTCTGAAATCACATTGCATCGGTTATCTATTGTTGCACAACACATTACCTCAAGACAGTATTATAGAGGTTTACTATAATATTGGTGTAGGAGATAAGGGTTGGGGCAAACTGGATGGAATGTGTCAAAGATTATAAAAATCCATGGCCTGCAGGTTAAGCAAGATGTTTCCTAAAAGGAGAGGACATGTGCAGAATACAGTACCCAAATGACTTCAGGATTCCTGAGCACTGTACAGGAAGCCAATCAGAAAGCAATATTTTCAACCTTTCATTTGAATATTGCATTATTTGCAGGACCAAACAGAAGATGCTGTTTTTGATCATTTACATGTGGGTATAAACAATCAAAAGACACTGTTTCTGGTCATTTACTTCTGGCAAGAAAACAAGCAAGTCTTTCTATAGGACAGTTTATACCTGGCATGAGACCAAGTGAGTTTTTAATAGACAAATGTCCCAATCCCTTATTTGCTTAAGGGGAAGACAACTTGGGCATTTGGAATACTGAAGATCCTCTCCGCTTATCCTTGAGGCAGCTATGAACTTCTTTCCCTACTCATCTTGCCCTGTAGAGTGTGTTTCTTTTCTGTCCTCAATAAATGTACACCCTCACTGCCTTTTCTCTATATCTTATTCAGTTCTTTGGGCACCAACGACCTGTGAGGAAGCCCTACAAGACCTCCACAATGTGATAACAATATGATAGATTATTTTTCACCATTTCTGGTGGTCAGAAATTTGGGAGTGGCATGGTATACTGTCCTAAGTTGGGAGTTTCTCGTGTAGCTACAGGTATATATGTCAACAGGAGTTACAGTCATTGGGATGATGAACTGGAACTGAAGGATCAACTTCTGCAGAAGATCACTTACATGGATTTCTTGTGTGGCTGGCTGTTGGCAGAAAATGCTGGTGCCTTTCCAGCAGACTGTGCATGTGCCTTAATAGCATGCAGCTGACGTCCCTCAGCGCAAGAGATCCAAGAGAGAGCAAGACTGAAGTCACAATGATTTATCTCTTTGAAGTTTTGTCTATCACCTCTACTTTAGTCACATAGACAAGTGCTGATTCAATATGGAAGATTACATAAGGACATGAATTCCAGAAACAGGATCATTTGGGGCCATTCTGGGCCTGCTTATTACACAGGTATTTTAAGATGGGAATTTGGTCTGAACTTTATATCTGACTATTTTTCCAAATCCATTTTATTTCAAGGAGATAAAGAGGAATAAAAAGAAAACTAACACAAAATTTCTAAACATGGGAATCAGGGGGCAACAATGGTATGTACGTTGTGCATTGTCATCCCCAAATCATTCACCCAGAGCACAAGACAACTGTATTCAATTGTCTGAACAGTATCAGCACAAATCTTTCTTTTAAGTGAATTCAGAGAAATCGATAGTATAACTATCTTAACTTTTTATATACATATACATACACAAATACATATGTTGTTTCTTTTAATTTGTCACAGCAATGAAACAGTATGATGTTTACATATGTGTGTCTTATTTATTTCACTAATGAGCATGGTCTCAAGTTGCATCCATTTACCTATGAAAGTCTCCAGTTTATCCTTCTTTATGGCTGAGTAGTACTCCATTGTATAAAAATACCACCTTTTTAATCCATCCTTCAGTCAGTGGGCATTTAGGTTGTTTCTGGATATTACAAATTGTTAGGGTATACATATATTGCTGTGGTATGATGTATTTATTCTTTTGGGAAGATACCCAAAAAGGGAACAGCTGAGTTTTTTAAGGAATCTCCACACTGAATTGTCATGTTGAGGGTAGAACCTGACGTTCTGGATTTCTAACAAGTTAACAAAGCAGTGCCAATGTACATGATCCAAGGACCACATGTTGAATAGTGAGGGTCTAGAGTTGTGCTAGTGAAGTAGGTAGCCACTACACATATATGATCAAGTTAATTTAAATTAATAACATTACAATTATCTTCTTCAGTTTCCCTAACCACATTACAAAGGCTCAGTAACCACATTAAATAACACATCATCACAGAAAGCCCCCCTAGATAACACTGGTATAGAGAACTGACTTACATATAACTTTCCTACAGCTGCTTTTTAGATCAGAGCAACTATCTACAAATTCACATCAAAAGAGGACTTGCACAGGATAAATAGCAACAAGATATTTATAGTCATATTTAATTCTTCTCCCTTGAATGGATTAACCCAGTGTTCCTGAATACAATTTTAAAGGTTAGCTTAGTAATTGGAAATAACTGCCTGGTAATGTCACTAGATGAATTGCTTTTCTCCACACTAGGGGTATTTTTTTTTTCCTTGCTACTGGTACTGGACTTTAGATTCAGAACGGAGAATATTAGGAAAGACACCCTGTTAAGAAGCTACTTTTGGCTCCTTTTTAAAGACTCTTGGAGGTTAACTATCCTTTTAGGACAAAATAATGCAATACACTGGGCACAATTGGGTATTCCTTTCTGTGATTCCATATCATGTTGTTAATACATCCTTTAGAACTTTTCATATGTTCTTTTGTCTATTACATATTTGCTCACTCTATTAGAATGTAAGCCTCTTGAGGGCAGGGTTTGCCATGGAGCTGGCATTTAAAATGTTTGTTGGATTAATACTTCAATTAATAATGATATCATATTCGTATATTTGTTATGTTAGGCTTCTTAGCGTCTGGTGTAAACTTAGACTAGACAAGTCATAGCTCTATAGTGATATGAGAGACTCTGAACACTTTACTTTGTTTTGCTAAATCTCATTCTGTTATTTGTTAAATGGGAACAGTACATTTAACCTGCGCTTACATCACCAGATTATTCTGAGGACCAAGTGGGTTTACAGTTACAGAAGTATTTTATCATTTATAATTTTTTTAATTCTAGTTTTCTTGAAAATTAGGACGTACTCTGGTCTCAGTGCCAACATATGTACAGATTAACTTGCACGATTGTCTCCTTATTTTCACATCCTATAGTATTGCCTGTTTGGCACATTCACTCGTGTTTTCAAGTTCATCTTCTCTGTCTCTGTCTCTTTCTCTCTTTCAGCTTCCCTCCCTCCCCCTCATTCGCTTGCCTAACCAGCTTTTAAAATTTTAAGATACAGTATTTACAGATTTTAAATAGAAATTACCTTTGACAGTTTTAAAATATTTTAAGTATTTATTCCTTCAATGTATGGAGAATCCCAAGCATATTACTAATATCTGCAAGTTTTGTAACTCTTGGACCATCTTCAAAAAGAGGTGGACTCTGAAATAAGGCTATTCTGAAAAAGGAAGCAAAAAAGTAAATTGCTTAAAGCACTAAAATTTTAGCTCTCACCATTGGGTTGATTCCTATCTATATCTAGCAGTTCCTCTGTATTCCCACTTTTGTCTCCTGAGATCAATCTGTAGTATTCCTATTGCCCTTTCCCTGTGTGCCCCCTCCTGCCTCCATAAACCACCACTCATTTCCCTGACCTAACTTTTTCACTTTCTCCTTAGCATGCTTTCACATGGATTTATGCCTGTGACAATTGGTATCCGTTTCCTTTTTTTTTTTTTTTTTTTTTTTTTTTTGCCATTCCTTACCTTTTTCACCTTAATCTTATAGCTTCTTGAAACCTGTAGTTGCTCGGGAGAGACCACAAGGATGTGCACCTTAGCTAAGTGCAGAAAAGGAATCACTGGTATGGGTTGAGGTGTGCCGTAGATGCCCTTCAATGTTCTGAATGCCTTAGATTTGTCAAACAAATATTATGGTACTTTGCTTAGGCAAGTAATTCTTATTCCTTATATTACAGGGTAAGTCGCTAGGATAAGTCTTGCAGTGAGTGCCAGGGCTATCTTGTCTTCTTAAAGTTAATCAGTCCAGGAGATGGCTAAATCATGAATGTT